TGTTGCAAAAAAAAAAAAAAAAATTAGTGAGCTATAAGGAAAGAAGGATTTTTCTGTATCTTATTTCTCCCAGGACTCCCTCCTAGATTATTGTTCTCATTCATTATTCACCAGCTGACAAAGCCCCTTGCTATTTAAGCATGAGCTCAAGTGTAGTTACATCTCTCACTTTTATAGATCCATTGTTCCTGGGAGCCACGATAAAAGTCTGATGTGTCTTGAAAATGGTTTCCTCTCCTCTCTACTACCCACCCCACCCCCACCCCCACCTCAGTCTGTCTGCTCGGGAGGTCTTACCCTAGTTTAGAGAATGCTAATTCAGTCTGACCACTAAGCGGGAGTCTGGGCTGTGTGGGTGAACCGTCTCTGTGTTCCCCGGGCCTGGCATCGCCGGCGGCAGATCAGCTGCACTGATAGGAGAGGGAAACCAGGGCAACCTCCAACCCGACCCGCCAATCACATCGCTCGCTCGCGCTCTCATCACCGCAGTGACAAATGACCCCATCTACCCCACCCCCACCCCCCCACCACTGCCCTAACCACCACATGCAGTCACAGGTGTATGTGAAACCTGTGTCAGGACACCTGTTTGTGTGTGTGTGTGTGTGTGTGTGTGTGTGTGTGTGTGTGAGAGAGAGAGAGAGAGAGAGAGTCTTTGTGGCTTAACAGGGTGAGTGTGTGCACCAGCTCGTGTTTCATTCTGCAGACGGGTTTAAAAGAAAGTGGTTCATGACAGAAAAATATTTTGTGTCTGTACATGAGGATGCATATCGTGTGTCTCTCTGTGTGCTGTGTTTGTGTTAGTGAGCAGTGTGAGAATCCCCACTCAGGAAATCACAGGGACCACCTTCACACACAAGCAAAGGATGTTTTTTTTTATTTTCCTTAATTCACTCACTCAGGACCTAAAAATGGGCTTCCTCTTTGCTGCACAGAGAGAAATTCACCATCAGAGAGAGCACATTACACTGTTGTTAAAGCCCACACACACACACACACACACACGCTTCCACTGTCATCCTAGAAAAACACCAAGGTTACATAATGCAGAGTAATACCTCAAGAGTACACATTCACAAACACCAAACCACAGCCCCTATCACCGTTACAGGACTCACATCTGAACTCTGTTACTCAGGCAATAAAATGTTCATTTATTCGGTTCAGTTTGTTGATGTTGTAACACCGCCACAGCCGGTCTGGGTAAAAAAAAAAAAAAAGAGATGCTTAGGTTCACATTTGTATTTCATACTTTGTCTCACCACAAGCTAATGATAGGTTAAGAAAGACAAGAGTCCTTGAGGAAAACGTGGAGATCAATGCAGAAGAGATGAGACAAGGAAACGACATGGAGCTCAGCGACCAGTCTTCTCTTTGGTGTTGACGGTAGCCTCATGGCGACCAGGTGTCTCCCCGCCCCACACTTAACACCTGAGATCACTGCCAGGCCGCTGCAGCTGAGATGTGCTTTGGCGTGAGATCGTCTTTATTTCGATGAAAATCACGAGCGAGCCAATGAGGACGTAGATTGAGAGATGTATTAATGAGGACGAGCCAGACGTGGTATCCATCCCATTATTTTTTCATGAATCTGAAAAACATTTCAGATGTCCCCACCCGCCCCTGCTGTTGAACGCTGGGTGTGGAGCAATAACAGTGGCCTCTGTGTCAGTCTGGATTCCACTGTGTTTTGGGGGAAAATTCCTCCTCGCTGCTAACAGTCATGTTATGGAAGCCAAGTGCAATTTGTGCCAAAATGTGAGTATGTAAGGATTCAGGGAGAAGACAAAACCCTGCTGTGTGTCCTGTTTCTCCAGAGAGAGAAAAACAAAACAGATAGGTGTTTTTTTTTTGTTTTTTTTTGGACGTTTCCTAATTGACAAGTGTAAACAACTCAATGAATCTTGAGGAGAACAAATGCAATTAGCAGCAAGAATTTGCTTAAGCTGCTTTCTCTTCCCCGTGCAGTGGTTAAGTGTTTGTGGATGGTTTTAAATCACACTCTGCCCCTACCTAGAGACAAGACTCCAGTCTAAAGAGGTAGCTATACAGAAAGAAATCAGGAAACCAGGGAAATAACAGGAACCAACGCACTGGGTTGATAAAAGTTTATAAGTAATCTCTGTGCATATTTGTGAAGATTAGCAGAAACCAGCAGCAGCCATTCAGGACTGTTCAAGGCTGCAGCCGCGCTCCACTCTCTTGTGTGATCTGTGTCTACATATGTATGGACGTGTGCGTGTGCGTGTGTGTGTGTGTGTGTATTTGTGAAATGAGGTGGGGTGCGGTAAGGGGCTCTTGGCACAGCTTAGCAGTCTTGTGATTGGAGATCAGGAGTTTGTTCTAGCGGATTCAAAATCAGGCACCTTCTTCCTCTCTGGGCGCAATAACTCTTCGCAAACACAATTTAACACACCCACATTTTTAAAAAACAAATCTATCAGATTATATAAATGGAATTTGTTCTGTTCTGTTGTCATCTCACCAATGATTCAAGGCTTGATGGGAAAGAAACTATTTGTTTCTTTAAGTACAAAAGCAATATGATAAGAACAAAGACTGATCTCTGCGGTGGTTGTTTTCCCGTCGCTCACTGACCTCATCGAGTAAACACAGGAGGGGGGAGTCGCTGTGTTTATGACAGCAGCGTTGGTTAAATATTAATATGTGAGTGCCCGGCTTAATGGATGCATCATCCTGTTGGACACTTCTTCACACCTGTATCTCAGGGTTGCTACTGTGTGGCGGAGCCTCTTAGTGAAAAACAGCTCTCAAAGACAAACAATGCATATTCAACGTTTTCTCACTTTGTTCTCTCTCTGCCCTCAGACCTCACACAAACATTCACTTGTGTACTTAAACCGCACATGTCATAGGCAAACAGATGTGTATTTGCTTGTAGTGTTTACGTGTCTAAAAATATGTTTGCGTGTGGAGAAATATGCATGCAGTTACATTATGAGTACATCACATGTCACTGTAAGTAAATTACTCCTGAATATACACAAGCCCTGACACATCTTCACAGGTGGATGTCTGTCCGCCGAGAGGAACGAGACACTCTGTCTGTCAAATACAAACTAATGACAAACTTGTGATCTGCCGTCAAATGACTCCTACATGTTCAAGGGGAAGAGCAGTCAATGAAACAAAATGGCTCCCTCTGCTCAGTCATTGCCGGCAATTTGGCCGAGGTTTCCTTGGCAACGCAAACCTGGTTTCTCACTGAGGACAAGGAGAGATGGTGTGCTGCTGTAACGCTGCCGCCACAGCACTCACATCCAACAGCTTGATTTTGTTTTCTCATGAGTTCTCGTCGCCTCAGTGTCAGCACGCGTGATTACAGTGATGCAGAGCGGTCTGCTCGTCTCACGCGGGCTCCAACTACAAATCAGAAATGATTTTTTTGGTCTTTGCAGTGAACTTGAGGAAGGGGAAGGGGTCTGTTCAAATCATTTTTACATTTATTTTTAATCTAGGGACCATTTTTTGTAACAAAGTGCTCAGAGGGTTTTTTTTTTTCAAAAAGCTCTGAAACAAACCTTCTCTCGTATCTGGTCAGAGATTAATAAAGAGGATTATTTGAATTGGCCTTAATCTTATCATTAGATCATTCTTTTAGATAGTTCTTTTTTTTTTTTTGCCTGTGTCACTGCTGAATTCATGTGATAATGCAGCCTCAGAGAGCAAACGCCAGGATGTCACTGAGGAAATTGTGTTATTTGGGTAGTTTGCTGGCTCCGAATCATTTTCATGCAGAAATGAAGGGACCAGAGGTTCATCTGTGTCATCTAATGTTCTGCCCGTACAGCTGATATAAAGACATGACACTACTGAGTAGTACTACAAGATATTATTAAGATATCTAGTAGATGTACATGATCAAACATCATGAAAGAAATTAACTACTTGAAAAATTGTGCAATTACTGGCCCAATTACTCAAAACAGACCATAGAAGAAGTGTGTGTTGTCAGTTTAGAAGGACAAAGGAAGAAGAGTTTCAGAATGACATCACATGATAAAATCTGAAATGCACCAAATTAGAAAAATATCTTCCTCTTTGGATCCTTTTGCACAATCAAAACATGGAAAGACCTTCTCCGACATGCGTGTGTGTGTATGTCTTTCTGCTTTCCACACTTTTTAAAATGGCTGTTATTTAAATGCACATATTGCTTTGTGTTGCGTTACTCTCCGGTATCAGATAAGACTTGCTCTTAACTCGGCCAGGCATAAAAGACTTTTATGGATGCCTTTCATTTCAAGTCCTCAAGTCGGCCCATGTTTCAAACGAGCCACTGCTTATCAGTAACCTATTACTTCTTGGTCCGGCTGCCTCAGCAAACACCGGCTGAGGCATTTGCCACAACTATGTACACACGTTCAAATACAGCGAACGCAAACACAGATATCCCAAACATCCACTGAAGCACGCAGACCTACAGCATGTTGTCTTTTAAAAGTTATCTTGGACAATGTAGCACATTGAGTTTTCAGCTGGCATGGTCACAAGGAGCTGTGTTTGTGTAATTTGCGATAGAATGTCCTCCAGTTCTCCTTTCCTAACAAAACAGATACTTCAGCTACATTTTTTCATCCAGTGGAATTCTAGGCAGGTTGTTTTGAATAAGGGAGCCAAAAAAAAAAAAAAAAATTAGATGTGTCATTTGAGCTACAATGGCGACTTTCTCCAGAGTTCGATATGTGTGTGTCTGTGCATCTGTGTGTGGGTGTCTATTCTCCCCAGGGCCAGCTGGGGTAATTTGATTGTGTTCATTGCGCTCTTTACATACCCCTGAGCAAAACACATCCATGCTGTCTTGTTCGGGACAATAAATAATGTAAATCACATTTACCTGCCAAAGAAAACACATGCGGGATGGGAATTCTCGCTGCTGCCTGCAACAACTGCACTCGGTTCATCTTTTGTCAGTGGTCTTTGCTGTAGAAATCAAACAAAACCATGACCATGCATTAACCCGACCCCTCGTCCATCAGGTGGTGTGGGTATCGCAGCCACCCAGCTGTGCCAGACGGTGAAGGATGTGACTGTGTTCGGCACGGCGTCGGCCAGCAAGCATGAGACCATCAGCCAGGGCGGAGTCACGCATGCCATCGACTATCGCACCAAGGACTACGTGGAGGAGGTCCGCAAGATCAGTCCCAAAGGTGAGACACTTGGCCATCAGTTTGTGTGTGCAGGGTTGTGCGAGTGGAAATAATGTTAGATAAATGGCCCAGTGGAAACTGTATACAAGTCAGGATTTACAGTGATATGCACTGAGATTGTTTCATAGGAGGAATGGTCCAGATCGATGTATTCCCACTGGCACAGAGCAATACTGTGTGACTGCAGCATTTGTTGAACAGTGCTGAATAAAGTGCAGACAGTGATATGATCCATTTTCATACACTTTGTGTGTGTGTGTGTGTGTGTGTGTGTGTGTGTGTGTGTGTGTGTTTTTGGCTGCCATATAGGGAGTCATTATCCCTACCAAACAAAACTCATTGCAATAAGGAGTGACTGTTTGGATTCACATCGCCATCAATAATGTATCTGCAGAGTTTTATGTAGATCTGGCCCTGGACTCACTAAGAGGCCACACAAAAAAAAAATGCTGCTTTTCAGCAAAATGAAGCAACGTCCAGTTCCTGTTTCTTCTTGTGCCTACTGCTGTGTCGGAGACTCTTATTATGCTGGAGGCTCATTTCATAGTCAGCTCTCCAACCCGTCTCTGTTCTTTGTAGCACAGAGAGAGACAGACAGAGACGGATAAGAAGAGGGCAAGAACTGACACTTGAGACAGAATGTATCTAATTAGAAGCCTGGATCAATGTGCAGCCCTGCTCGCTACCTTTCCCCCTGTCTTTGGCTCCCTGTCAATTCATCTGTGCTGCGGTCAAGGCAGAGTCCTGCTGTGAACCTCCCACAATCAATAGAAGCAGGGTTTAACGGAGCGAGGAGGGGTAGCCCAATTTGAGGAGTCCCCTCTGGCACAAAGGATCATCATTAAGGTTGAGTCTACGGGGCCAGGCATTAATAAGCCACAGAGAAACCTTCATAGTTAGGTTGCCATGCTTTACCATCTGCTCAGAGGTTGGTTTGTTATTCTGTCCACCCAGGAATGGAATGAACAGGAATGGGGGAGACGTTTTATCCCTCTTGTTTTATCAGTGACAAGAATGAAAAAACATAAAACCAGTAAGATCTAACCCGCTCCCCTCCCCTCCTCTCCTCTCCTCTCCTCTCCTGGCATACGTATGGGTTCCTCTTCATGTAAACATGGCACAACTTGGCTACACTCACTACTCCTAGTGAACTCTGGCATGCGGAGGGGGCTGCTGAGGAGACTTGGCAGGCTGCTCTCTGAATTAACACCAGTGATAACTGTCCACTTCTTGTCTCTCCTGCTCCAGGGCTGGACATAATACTGGACCCTCTCGGAGGATCAGACACCCATAAGGCCTACAACCTGCTGAAGCCTATGGGCAAACTTATTACCTATGGTAAGTTTAAAAAAAAAAAAAATCCTTTACCTGAGAGTGCATCAGTAGTTTTGGAGCGGCTCTGTTTGAATCCTCACTGATACAAGACAGCTTGTCCAGCAGCTCACTAGGCAAGAATAGTCAAGAGCTAATACCCTGTAAATGTGATTAAAATGATCAACTTGGAAGATTGCTTGCCAATTTCCCCAATCCCCACTGTTTCCCACTCAACATAATTAGATTCAGAAGCACTTTTTTGCGCCAAAGTCAAATAAAAATCAAGCTTGAACTTTCACAGGCAAATTTGTTGTAAATGAAAAGTCTTCTCCAACAGCACTTGCCCTCAGGCTGGATGTGCCTCTCTAACCAAGCTTCACTTGAGTTTTATTTTTGACAGTTACCACAACATCTTATGTAGATAATACCTAAAGCCAAACATGTGGTTTATGAAGCTTGTTGGCGGCACTGCACAGTATAGGAAGCATCAAGGGTTCTGTATAAGTTACCTGCACAAGCTAGCAGCCATAGACAGAAATGCCCATGAACAGGCTCTTCCTTAGTGGGGCTCATTAGCTGCTTGTTGTGATTAACAGGAAGTTCTTTACTCAGTGTTACATGTGATTTATTGCAAAATAACAAGCATTTGTTAGCAAAGCCCTCCAGCTGAAGAATATTGACCACATCAGTTCAGTCTATAAAATAGTCATGGGTTTCCACACTTGCCGTACGATAAAGCTGCTTCCTGGTGGGCAGTGTGACCTCTCTGCAGAGGTCCGTGTCCTCAGTGTGCTGTGTGTCATCCGTGGGAAGGCCTTTACGCTCGCTCTGTTGCGATGCCAATCTGGAACCAGCGTGCATGCAACAGTGGGCGGGGTCGGCATCCACGGAGAACAGGGCTTTGCCTTTGCATGTTGCACAAAAACCCACTACCCAGCATGGTGCCCCCCTCCAATCCCCCCTCCTCGCCCATTCACCCGCTCTCACCCCTACAGAACCCCAACCTACCCGCCCGGTCCCTCTGTGCTGGCCGCTTCTCTTCCAGCTTATCAGAAGTATGCATGGCGGAACAATGGGCGTTCTATGCACACGAAACCTGGAATGTGTCTGAATGTAGCAGGCCGGGTCCCTCTCTTCTCTCAGAGCGCGCTTTGTGTCCCCTGTTTCCCCCGAGAGAGAGGCAGAGACATTGAGAGCATAGGAGGCTGTGTGAACACAGGAGGAGGGGATGGGAAGGTGATGTGGTGACAGTCAGAGCTGAGGTGCTAAAGTGGTTTTCAGGGTGAAAGGTGTAGGCGAGAGTGTGAAGGTACATGGGAACAGAGGTGGAACAAAAATATAAACCAGAACTAATGAGTAGAGGCACTTGGCAGGAATTAATGTTGATTTGGCATGTCACCAAATACTGAATCAGTCTATTATTGTCGTAATTGTAATAAAATGTCATAAAATTGGAAAAACCTAAAAGAGTTTTTTAACCAACACACATTCAATAACATAAAACAGTGAAGGCAGTAAATTCTCACATTTGAGATGCAGGAACAAGCAAATGTTTGGCTGTTTTTTCTTTAAAGGAAGTAGTATTTTTTTTGTTATGGCTACATAGCCAGCGTTAGCATTAACAGCGCTTTACTTACAAGTCTAGAAGAAGTGTTGTGAGATCAGCATCAAACTTCATTCTTTTCTTCTACTGAAGTTAGCATGCTAACCAGCTAGCTCCGGCCCGTCTTGCCACTTTCCAATAGCAACTCACTGTAGCCTCCTATCTCCCCTGAAGAAGTAGCACTGCTCAGAGGGAGTATTATAACCTCTTGTCTTGCAAATGCAACAATGGCCCGGCAAGAAACCAGATTTCAGCAGCAGCAACAACATATAGTTATCCCCTTTAAAATAACTTCGGTCAATTATTTTTCATCGATCAAATAATCAAGTGACTGTTTCACCACTAAAACAGGTGAAGGCAGGTGATTAGGTGAGGGAAAGTGGGTGAGGTCAGAGCAGAAGAAGGAAAAGAAGAAAGTGGGAGTCGGGGCAGATAACTTGATAGTAGATGAATCACACTTCTAAACAACGCATCATTAGGAAATCAGTTATAGACAGGGAGTTAGGAATTTACCTGAAAATAAGAAGACACACCTGCACACGCTGTCTTCGACAGACTTTATCTCCCAGGCATCCAGACTTTATCTTCTCTGTCAGGTACGGCTAACATGCTGGCAGGCCAGAAGAAGAACCTGCTCGCCGTGGCCAAGAACTGGTACCACCAGTTCTCCATCCACACGCTCAGCCTGATCCAGGGCAACAAGTCGGTGTGCGGCTTCCACTTGGGCTACCTGGACGGTGAGACAGAGCTCATCACACAGGCCATGAACACCATCCTGGATCTCTACAAGCAGGGCAAGGTCAAGCCCCGCATCGACTCCACTTGGCATCTTGAGCAGGTCCGTGTCTTCCATTTTGTCCATGTATACTATTGTTTCTTATGTGGGTTGTGTCAGGAATGATTAAATTCTCTATATGCCCTATGAAGATAATGTTTTTTGCATTATCTCGTATAGTATTTGCAATTTTTATAACCAGCGTTGGGGAATATGATGATAGATACAGTGAAACGATATTGTACTTCATCATTTCTACCAAGATCACAATCCATTTAATATTTCTGGTTTCATTAGGACAATGCAGGCAGTGTCGAAAATCATTGAGGAGGACTCTTTCTTGGCACTAGTGAATATACAAGTATTTTTACGAATATAAAAGTGTATTTATAATTGAACCAAAAACAAATCTTATCTGTTTATTTAATCTATAAACTATTTTTCAGCTCAATTTGCTATGTCACAATATTTATCACTATCATGATAATAGAAAATTTATATTTTCCTAATCATCCACCCTATTCACTGTATTTCTATTGCCTCTATGACTGTTTGAGCTGCCATTTTTTATGTCCCCTTAGGTTGAATCCATCCAAAGGTGTATTTCCAACAGCGGGCCTCTGTATTTGAATTTCAGATCCATTTATGCCTGGTTGTTAGTGTAACCAAACGCATCCGTGTGCACCTCAGCCTGAATGACCAGATGATTCATTGTGACATGGCTGCATTTACATTATTCACATGATTGACATGCATTTTTACACCTCGTGCCTCCGGCCCAGAATGACTGTGAACGTCAGGTGGGTCTGTGCGCTTGGTAGTGGGGATCTGCAGGAGCTGGGTGTGGCCCAGATTCAATAAGACTCACATTCAGCAAGTTTGTCCACAAGAAGCCCTGTATCTCCTCTATCGTAACTCACTCCAGCCAGACAGAGTCAGATTGTTGCTGACAAAATTAACACTGCGAGCAGATATGAATAGAGAGAGTGTGAAAAACACAGGGAGAGAAAGGGAGTCAGAGGCTGACATCTTCTGTTGTCAAAGTCGGAGCTGGTCAGTATTTTTGGCCTGTGTGGCTGCAGCCAGAGAGAATCACCCGCTGTCTTTCTCCGCCATCTGACGCTCTTTCTCTGCCCCTCCATCTGCCCGCTCTTCATATCAGACTCTTTCTCTCTGTCTTTAGGTTATTGACTCTCTCTCCTTCTCGCTGTGTTCTCTCCTTCTCCCTCCTCACAGTGCATCTTTTTTGCTTTTTCTCTCTTGTTGCTATGGTGACATCCTTTAGTCGGTGTGTGCGTCTGTCTCAGGGAGGGGCCCTGATGTATGAAAAAGAGACATTGAAGGAGGGTGGAAACACAGAGGGGAAAGGAAGGTATATCTCACTCTGGCTTGGTGTGTAAAAGCTTTTGGGGGATGTCTGCGAACACTGATGCTCATAGTAGCAGCAGACACAAAAGGCTGTTGGGCGATAGTAAATCAAATACTAGATGACTTATTACAAATGCCACGCCCTGCCCCCATCCATCACAGCGTCTCTTCCATTGTCACTCTTTGTTTTTGCTCCAGTAATCAATAAATATGCTTGGGCAATATCTGTAAATTAGCATTATTATCCCTCCTTCCCCTGGTTTCTCTTCATTATCTACATCTGCACTGATACCCACAAGGATAACACAACGGTCATGTCTGTAGCCGCAAATAGCACACTCCAGTCCAGAGATGCCTGGGAGCCAGAGAGAGGCTGACAGATCTTAGAGAGCGAAGGGTGGAAGTGGGTGGAGTCGTCAGAAGGGCCTCAGTCGCTCTCACTGTGACTTTCATTCACATTGAAGATGATTCTTATAATTCCGGGACTCACCCCTCCCTCCCTTCCCTCCCTCCCTCCTCCCCTCCCTCCCTTTCAGTTTCACTGAGGCGTGTTCCTCGATCATCCGAAGGACACCAGTTGCTCCCTCTGTCGTCATCGCCCCCCACCCACCCACCATCCCTTCCACTTCCAACACCCACTCCCCCCTCTTTCCCATGTGTCTGAGTCGTCAGGGCCACGTTTCAGCCAGGCTTTACGTTGCTAGGAGATGGCCCCGTTGCCGTGGCATTGGTCGTTAGGTGGTCTGCCTGCCTCGCACAAACAGGGGGATTGGCTGAGGGAGTCGGGGAGGTGGGGGCGATGGAGACGGGAACAGACAGTGGACAGAGCTCGGTGGTCAAGAGGAGGGTGGGGCTGGTCTGGCTGGGATTGATACTCAGTGGGATCAATCCTTGGGGGGTCGCCAAAAAGTACAGTAACAGTTTTAACTATAAACAAAATACTATGACAAAATTGTGACTGTGGTCAGTGGATTAGCCACTTCTGATTTTACCACCAGTTTAACCCAGGAAGTGATTTGTCTGTCCCGGGGCTTCACCTGTGATGAAACACTCTCTTCCAGCTGTGGTTTATTGGTTAATTCATCTGCAACGGCCTCCTCACATCACAGGGAAGAAAAAAAGTTAATACAATTATAATCATCATTTTATTTGCCTTGTTAGTGAGTCTGCCCAGTGAAAAGAAAATTAAATCAATTCAAATTCAGTTAAGACATCACAGCAGCAACAATTCTCATAAATCATGATATAAGCGTTCAAAGTAGAGCAGTTCTTAAAAAGTCCATCACCTAAAATTGACCCCAGAGCCAGACCAGGATCGAACCGGGGTCTCAGAACCAACATCACCTGCGTCATTCATGCTACGGGTCCACAGCCACAGCTCTGTGAGCATGTGATTATCTGAGCTCAGAAGAGATAGAAACAAATGTCTCATTTTGTTTTGCACCTTCACAGTTTTCCTCAAACAAGCTCTCACTTTCTGCATCGTGCCTCCTCCATCTCTTGCCTACATATAATCTTAAATAATGGGAATAAATGTCATTATATTTATACTTAATAAATTCTAATATTGGAAGTATCTGTTTGTGTTATTCCCTCCATTTACTTTGTCATCCTCCTGTTTCTCTGCTGAAACAATCTCATTTCCTCTCAAAGATTATTAAAGTCTCGTCTAAACAAATGTAATTTCCCATATGCTGCATATTAAACTAATATTTGAGGGGTGCCCGCTTGGAAGATTTGTTTCTGGTGTGTGGTAGCAAAAAAGATAATAAGCGCAGAATGCAGAGAGGCTTGTAGTGCTGTGGAAATGTGTTGGTGGAAGAGAAACTGGCTGCTGCTCTCAATAGATTTTTCTCAATGATGGGTGTATTTAAAATCCTCCTTGCCCTCCTCTCACCCTTTGCTCTTTCATCTTTCCTTACGTAACTGTCTCTCTCCTTTCGTCTCCCCTGCAGGTGGGCGATGCCATGAGGAAGATGCAGGAGAGGAACAACATCGGCAAAATGATCCTCACCACGGAGCCGATGCCCGAGGAGGAGAAGAAAGAGGAGCCCAAGAAGGATGACAAGAAGGAGGACAAGAAGAAGGATGACAAGAAGAAGGATGACAAGAAGAAGGACGATGCCAAGAAGGAGGAGAAGAAGGACGACAAGAAGAAAGAAGAGCCCAAGAAGGAGGAGAAGAAGGAGGAAGAGAAGAAGGAAGAGGTCAAGAAGGAGGAGAAGTGAGAGGGAGGGATGGAGAGTCAAGCAGACCACCTGGGGGTTTGTGTCCTGGGAGCAGGGGGTGTGGTGTGGGATGGTGGGGTGGGGTCGGGGTTAGGGTAAGGATGGAGATGGAGATGGATGGTGTGGGAGGGTGGGGGTGGAGCATAAAACAAGAATGGGAATGAGTTAGAAGGGTAGATTACAAAATTATCACACCCACTGTCAGTCTTTCATCTCCTCCGCTTCACCCTCGAGTCCACAATGGGCAGATGATTACTCAGGCCTGGCTCACCCACCCCTCTCCCTCCCTCCCCTCCTCCCTCCCCTGCCCTCCATACAATTTTCGAGCCTTTATTTAAAAGAAAAAAGAATCCAATCACTTGTACCACCTTGTGAGCTCCAAACATTTATCCCTGCCTCACAAGAAAAAACAGCCACAACACTCGGAAGATTTCTTCCTATTCGGAGCCATGGAGGACCGTGGGTAGGGTCCAGGCTTGGTGCAAATTACTGTCTCCTTGACAACCGTAATCCCCGCTCGCACTTCGGCCCCACCCTCGACCCCACATGCCCCTCCGCACCTCAACTCCCACTGTGCTAAATTGTTCTGCTCTGACTTCCACCTGCCACCTACTCTCTCTCTCTCTCTCTCTCTCTCTCTCTCTTCTCTTTCTCTTCTGCCCTACCCCCCCCCCCCCAACACACCACAGACCACACCCCCCCCCCTCCCCTTCAACTTGTGCTGAGTCCCCCCACCCAACCTCCCACACCACCCCCCATCCACCCACCCAGACACGGGCCGGACCCACAGACAGGCAACAAAGACAGGCAGACAAAACCGAGAAGAACCACACCCACCCACACGTTGCTCTCTTGGTGTCCAAACACTTATAGTTATGTCACTGAGAGTGAGTCAGAGATGCCTGTGATTGGCTCGTGCACCCCACCTCCCCTGGAGATATTTGCATCCTGGTTTTGATCATGATGTACGACTGCTCAGACAATGCTGTAAGGCCTAACATTGGTGATTTTATACGTGTATCTCGGATATAGCTCGCATCGGCCTCCATCAGCGGCATGGGAAACAGCTCCACAATGCATGCGTTCCCACCAGATTTCAGTGGAAGTTAACATAGCGGCCGCAGTTTTGCACTTGCCTGAATATGAATTTCCCTCATAATGAGCCTTTCTGTGCCGCGTTGAATAGGGAGGCAGAAATCATTGCTCAGCTTCCTTCTCCTTAGTTACAGATTTTTCTAGCTGACCAACTGTTGGCAAGAAGTGCGCAGTGCCAATTAAGAGAGAATTTGTTTCTGTTCAAACAAGCCACAAATACACACATATACACACACAAACATACACACTCTGAATGTGATGAAAGGGCCACTGTCATGCTGAGACAGTGAAGCGTCTGAAATGAGCAAGTTAAGAAGGTGAACACCAGTCCTTTCTCCTCGGGATCAGATCCCTTTTTCTTTCTTTTTTTTCTCCTCCCTGATCCTCCTCGAGGCATTCCACGGCATTCTGCTGCTTTCACAGCGGCCGCTCGCCTGTCCATCACCCTGACCTGAGAGAGGAGAATTCAATTCAAGCTGGCGTCCATACTTTGCCTCCCCTCCTTCTCTCCACTCTCTCTCTCTCTCTCTCCCTCCTCTTTCCATTTCCCTCTCTATGGTCGGCATAGCAACAGGCGTCAGGCTCGTCAGAGATGGCACTGTGGTCTGTTTCTCTGACTCCCTCTCCCTGTGTCTCTCTTTTCTGCCTCCCTAACTCTGTATCTGCCAGCAGTCGGTGCTGAGGACCAGTGTTTCAACAGGTGTAACATGTATTAAAAAGTTTCTGATGATAAAATGAGGAGGTGAAGCAGTTTTTAAGGTTGTTAGAAAATAGCGCCCGTAAACTGTTTTTTTTTTGTTTTTTTGTTTTTTTTAAACCAGTCTGAAATTTAAACAAAGTATTGACAATGGTGTGCCATTAGGAGCATACAGGCTAAAGCAGCACACCGCTGCCCCTAATGGCCAGTATGAATCTTGCCCGTCTGGTGTCATGTTAGAAGTCCACAAGTATAATCCTAAATGTTTCATCACAAATCCCTCTGGGTGGGCTCTAAATCTTTCATGTAGATGGATTTCACATCTTACAACCTTAGACATTTATCTACCTGCCAGCCTGCCTGTCTGTCTGTCTGTCTGTCTGTCTGTGAGCCCGGCCCCGGTGTTGAGACTCAGATGGTGACTAGTGACTTTGTAAAAAACAAAAACAAAACGTTTAAAAAAAATAAAAATTAAAAAAAAAAAAAAAAAAAAAAAAAAAAAAAAAAAAAAAAGAGAAAGAAAAAAGTTGTTGTGTTAGCATGAGTGGCCTCCCTCATGTGCTGTGTGTGGTGTGCCATTGTGTGTGAAGATGTGTGTGTGTCCTCAGGTCGTTTGTCAGGTTTTAAAAACACCCATCCCTATCCCTGCGACCCCCCCCCCCCACACACACACTCCTCTGCTACAGTATTATGTAGCTCCAACCCAGCCCTCCCTCCTCACTCTCTCTCTCTCTCTCTCTCTCGCTCTCTCTCTCTCTCTCTCTCCCTGTCTGATAGGAGGCCTGTGTTATGAGGACAGTTGGTATTAGTATTTTGCACTCTGCTCGCTGATCTTAATGCACTTACAAGCATGGCAGTCGCACTCCAGTCCCACGCAGGCTTTGATTGTGCTCCAGGTCTGCAGCCTGTTTCCCATCATCCACTCCCAGTGTATCTGCTGAAGCTCACTGAAAGCACAGGTGGCACACACACACACACACATATATAGAAACACACACTCATGTAGAGGTCCCCCCTCATTTTCAGCTTGCCAGTCCCTGTCCAGGCCAACTTCTCCTGGGTGGCAGCTAAAATCAAAGCATTCATCCATCCTTGACTGTGGGAAGTAAAATATGGAGCAGGGCGGAGTGGACTTGGCTGGAGTGTGACCGCCACGCTGGTGTGGGGAGTGACTGTGTCCTGTCAGCCTCTGGTTAGTGTTCTGTTCTAATCTGCTGGGCTCCCTTTGTGAACCTGTGGACGGTGCTTCTGTTCCGAGTGCCATGTGAGAAACAAACGCTTCAGTGAAAAAAAAAAAAAGAAAAAAAGGATGTTTTACTTAATATGTTATTTTAATTTACCTTTATATTTTTGTTTGTTTGTTTGTTTTTGTTTTTTTTTGTTTTTGTTTTTGTTATCCAAGGGTTTAAAGTTCAAAGCTCATACTCTTTATGTGGGGACCTGCCAACCTGCACTCCTTTTAAATGTGACAAAGTCTTTCTGTTGGTCTGAACCATGTGTGCCAAATTGTATGTATATTCCTCTGTCAATGCTTTGAATATTAACAGTGCATAAAAAATATGAAGAAAATTCTGTTTTTTGGATGCATTTCCGTCAACCTTGAAGAAAAAATGGAAATACAAAAGAGTTGTGTCAGATTTGTATCCCAAATGCTCATGGGTGCTGACAGAATTTTTGCTGCAGTTTACAAAAGGTTTAACACAATTTGTAGTTTTTGATTGGTTGGAGTCTTTCTCAAGCGAAGGCCTGCACTGTGCCTCTCTCCTTGCACACAGCTTACCTCAGTCCGAGGCGCCTCCCTCCATCTTTATGTCCTTTTCACTGTGTTTTACCAGCTCTTACATCACAACAGGTCGACCACAATAGGTTGATTCCTCCTACTTGTTTACATCATAATATCAGTATCACAGTGAGAAGGAACTGGATAAGGTGCATTTAAGGTTCAAAACTCCACCAAAAGACATATAGATTCACAGAAATTACAAAATTCCTCCAAATCCAAATCTCCATGGTATCCCTCTCTATGGATTTCTTTTTCTTTCAGTTTGTTTCCAAATGGCTTGTATAGCAAGCGAGGGAGCAGATGTTTTTGCACAGCTGTTGCAGGGATGCTAATACTGTAACGCAGCTGCGTAAGACCCCAGCTTATTGGCTGATCATAGCTCAGCCCTGGCCTGTCCCAGACACAACATTTCCGCTTTACAGCTGATCTCAGTTCACTCAAGGATTATTAGAGTCGTTCCTCTTTTCCTGTGCTGCATCCGCAGAGCGTCTTGGCCGGTGCTACAGTCGCAGTCCAGCAGCAGCAGCAGCAGCAGCAGCAGCAGCAGCCAGCCAGCCAGCCAGCCAAAACCCCCTCTCCTTCTCTCTCCATTCACATTCATTGCAAATAAAACACTACTCTGACATCTGGAATTTGAAATTGCATGCATTCATCTGCATGTGGAAAACGGATTATATTTTTTTTTTTCTTTCAACATTTTCCACTTGGTTCTTCAGAGCTAAGATGCCTTTGAGATGAACTCAATCAGTGGGGCGGGTGTTTCATGTCTGGGGGTTGGGGTTCGACTGGATCTGTTGGTTAAACTCAAGCCCACCCCCTCTCTACTTTGGCCTGCTGCCTGAGAGCTTTTCCACCATGGTGAAGCTGCAATGTATGTCATCTTGAAATGGTTTCCCAGTCATTCCAGACACTTATGCAAGAGTACTTAGCAACTCAGAGATATGCGGGAGAAAAACAGTGTTTCAAAGTAAAAGTACACAAAGTGGTAATTTTCTGAACAGTTGCAGTTTTAGATTTGATTTTACTAATCAACACTCGTAGTTTTAGGTCTGAAAAACACACTAAGACAATGAGTGTAGTATTTCCAATAGTTACTCTTCTGTCTGTCTTGGCTTGTGTAGCTGAAGTCCCTCACAGGCACCCACCGTTCAGCTTTGAGGTGAATTTCTTTCTCTTTTATATGGTTTCTCAGGTCATTCCAAACAGCGTTTTTCGTCATGTAAGAAACCACTTCATTTTGCATTCAATAACAAACACAACATCACTCCGTTTCATTGAGTTCACTGCACAAACTGTCACACCAATTTTCCTTCACGCCATCGATGTTTGATGTAAGCTTTAGTATTGCGAGTCAAAAGGAGAGGTTCTGTCAGTGGGTCATTTCCAGATACAGAGCCACTGTCTTCACTCATCCACACTCAGAACCCAACTCAGAACCCAAAACAGCCACATCTGCCTGCAGCTATTGTTTCCTTAGCAGTCATTTTAAAGGTTTTTTGCAATGCAGCCACATCACAGCAAACATTGCAGAGATGCTAAGAAAGTACAACCTGGCTGGGCTTGTCGTGTACAGTACTAGGATGCATGTTTAGTCGACCAGATAATAAGGCATGTGTGTATGTACAGCTCACCGTCTCTTTCCACGTTAGTTTAGTAGTCATGTAGCGGCGTGGTGTCAGGGAGTGAGAATGCCCTTCCAGTCGTATCAAGTTGCCAGCTGAAGCCAATCCACTGCCCCCCCCTGTGCCACCTGACTCCCTGTCCTCACCTTCAGCATGGGCGCTCTCATGGCCAGCTGGTGCTTTCATGATACACCTTAACCTATCTCTGGGAATGCTTCAGAAACTCACTTCACATCCATCCCGCTACACATCTCCTGTTAGAGTTCAGTCACCACTGGTAATTTTCTACAAGGCATACCCAACAGGTTGATTTCTAAGCTAGCACTCCTCTCCTCTGTCCTTCCTTGTGTTGTTTTCTTCCTGGTTGCAAACACTCTTCTCGTCTCGACTTTGTTTTTTAAACCCTTTGAATTGATGCTGCTTCTGTGCTTGACTCTGGGTTTACTGCGTGGTGCCATGTTGTCCACATGGCCTCTAGAGCTTGTAACGCTTCAGTGTGTAATGTTACCATATGCCTTACATGTTTTCCAGGACTAATAAAAAAAGCATAACAAAAAAAACATCAGGAGATGTGATTTTTATTTCCGTGCCCATTCTGAAAAAACTCGAGAGATTTTTACAAACTCATTCATTTTACAAATATCTTCTTCCTGTTTCCTTACTTTTCTTAAAACCAAAACAGGACCGTACAAAATCTATATCTATACAGTAATATACACACTATACTGTACAAAAAGCATCTTTACAAAACAAGCTGTTTTCAGGAATGTTATTGAAATAATGAAGATGTGATGGTTGGTCTCATTTGTCACAAATGAAAAATTATAACTCGTCTGTCTATCTAAAAGAAAGCAACGGTGAGGCAGGTTATAAAATTTTAAAAAATCCAAAATAGCTGCAATTAGAACTATCTCTATTATGTAAAAAAAAAAAAAGATCTACATTTCTATATACATCATCAAACATCACAAATTAATTAAGAGTATAAAAGTAGATGAGAACTTTTTTATATTCTTAAGATTTGGTTGGTGGCTCTTGGATCCCATGGGAGGTCAAGACCTGAGACAAGCGACTCAAGTAAGTGGAATCTGGGTAACCGTTCCTGAGAGAGACAAAAAGAAGACCGCTCATCTCAGATATACATGGCCTAGTGTATGTGACCTTCAATCCTGCAGCTCTGGTAGATATTCCCACTGGCATCACTCACCCTGATTTGCCTCCCTGTAGGCTGGTCTTGTGTGGGATGCAGTCCCAGGTGACCTTGGCCCCTGCCTCTTTGCCTGTCACTGTGAAGGTGAGTCCCTGCCTGAAGGCTTTCTCCAACCTGGGCAGGAGATTCCTCGTCATCTCGCAGTCAGGGAGGAAGGCTTCAAACTGTCCTCCTTTAAATGGTTTTCCTGGAGATGGGTGATCCATCTGGTAGGACAGTAAGCAAAGAACACAGTCATAAACAAAGCCTCTAGATATTACCACACATAAGCACAAAGTAAAGTCCTATTATTGACACAGCATCAACCTGCACAGAGGATCAGAATTTACACTCTGTTGTACTATTGACGACTTTTGACAATAAACAAGCACGTGCTGACTGGTGCTTGCAGATCACAGCGGAGCAAGAAATCCATGGAGGACGAGAACTGTAACTATCATTTCTGCCACATTATAAAAAAACAAACTCTATGAAGGGTGTTAGGTGTAGCTAAATGCGTCTTCACATCCCATAGGGGTCAAATACAACACAAGGTAAATTCAAACATGTATATTATAAAATGAGAAAGTCACATTAAGCTTTAATAAGCCCATATTTAACTTCTGTGTAATAAAGAGGCTGCGCAGAATGTTATTACCTTCCGTGAAGTGGTAAAGCAGTCAAAACAAACAAACCTATATCATTTGTTGTCTCAACCAAGATGAAATAGGCACAGTAGGCACCCCAGTATATTTTGTTAATGGCCTCTAGTAGATACAACAGTTCTCATTGACAATATATTCAAAGTATGCCACTCACCCCTTGGATGCCATCAGGAATGTTGTAAGTGATCTTGAAAGCAGATTCCCTCTTGTAACCAGGTACCCTGATGTCTAGTTTAGAGCATCTAATTTTGCCCCGGACACCTGGGAGAGTCGGAGCTGTCTTGTAACAGTTTTTGCAGTGGACGTGCACGGTGTCCAGGCATTTTGAGCACATGGAGATCCCACACTTAGTTCTCGTCACTGACATCCCATTGTCCCCACACACACAGATGCAGCCCAGGTTTCCCTGACCTACCCTGGACTCCTCTGGGATATCCTGGATCTCTCCTTGTCTTTGCTGTACACTCTGCTTTTGGGTTGAATGCATGGTTCTCTCTTTCTTATGAAGGGCCGTGGCTTCATCAGTACGGGCTGTTGTTGACCCGACACCATTCACACATGTCACATTTCTATTATTTCCTGCTGTAGAGTGGTTGACAAGTGTCTCAATTTTCAATCCATCCATCTCCACTGTACCTATAATTTTCACTTTCTCCTTAATGACAGGCTCTTTCCTCACTAATGGCTGGCTAACTGATCCGTTCACAAGCTCTGCCTCACAAAAGTCACTCATCTGGCTTGTTCTCCTTTCCTGTCCACCAGCTGTCCCGTCGCCTTTGCCTGTTTGGCTCTCTAGCCTCCCCTGAGGATTACTGTTACAGTGCAGACTAGTGCTTTGCTCCTCATTCATTTGTGAAGAAGTGGACGGATTCCAGTTGGAGGTAGAGGGGCTAGAGATGACCTGTTGTTCAGGTATTTGGGCCAAATCTCCAGAAAACACCTCCTGCAGTGTAGCACGTACCTTAGAACACAACTGTTTTGGACCAAAAAGAAATAAGCTCTTCTTTAAAATCTGGATAGTAACCTTCTTGAAGCGGCTACGGACTTCAGTGCAACAAGCCTGTAAAGTTTCATCAGCTGGATCAGTAACACCCAGCGCTGACAAGAGCAGCTCCTGCACAGAGAAGTCCACACAAACCGAGTCAACCAGCTTCTGTAGACCTTGCTGACATGAACTTACTTTGGACGAGTTCGCCCCTCTTATGGTGACAGTAAGATCACCACTGCTTTCTGGGTGGCCCTCTTTCATCTGGACATCAGAAGTCAGGTCGTCCACTCGGGTGCTGTAGGCTTTTTTTATGTGCTGCCACATCACCAAGGAAACTGTTATCTCTGCATTACAGACTTCCCGCTTGTCCCTCACTGTTTGGGTACTGAAGCTAGAAGAACTGCCCCTGGCTCTGACTGTGGACTTGCTGGAGTCGTCGTGACTTTTCTGACTAATAACCTGAGCCTTCTGCTGAGGTGTTCCTGAGAAACTATTGGCTCGCCTCAAGGTGGATCCAGACCCTGCACGTGGAAGTGTAGTACTTCCTGACAAACTGGACTGAGTAGTGCTGAGGGGGGATGTTAAACTCTTTGGTCGAGTATCCATTAAATTTGAAGTCAATGGGGTTTTATTCTGCGTAGAGGTAAATGAATGCAAAGCATCTCCACCTTTAAACAAGATATCCTCTCCGGTGTTTTGGGATTCTGCTCTGGGGAATCTTTCACCAGAAATCCCTGCTGTTTCTGACAGGACGTCGTGCCCCAACATTGGCCCAGGGCGCGTTTGTCTACTGGGAGATGAGAGCCCTCGTAAAGTGAAGTCAGTTGGTCGACTACCTAATGCAGACAGCCCTGTATCCTTAAACCGAGCTGCTAGTTTATACCTTTTGGCTCCATCAGTTCTCCTCTCCTCATCCCCTGACCTCAGCAGCTGATCTATCCTATCATCCAGAGACCCTTCAGTGGTGGACCTGGTGAAGGGGACTCTCACCTCATCAGTAGGAGTTAATGAACTTGAATCATATGAAGGATATCTACGAAGACTGGCTACATCCTCTTTTTTATCCCTCAGTTTGTCTTGGTCCAGGAGAAGGAATTGCTTTGCTTCAGACACGTCACTACTGCTCCCAATAATATAAATATTTCTGTCATCCTCACTCAGAAGAAGCTTAGGAAGTCTGACATTTAAGTTCTCTCTCGCCCTTTGCAGTCCTCCCCTGGGGGACAGGATACACTTCGGGAGCTGAGCTCGACGGATCTTGGTCTCATTCTCTTGGTAAAGCCCACTTATTGCCTTTTTTGCCAACACCAGGCGTTCCTGCTCTTGACCACCCTCTGCCTCTCCTGTTGTAACCTGCAGATACAGAGTAGTCAACCCCTGGTTTGTCATATCCACCACCCCAACACCATACTGACTAAGGATATGCTGGTATTCTTTCCCACAGTGTTTCTGCAGATACTGGAACATGTCTGCATCCACAATAAGTGAGAAGTCCTCCTCTGATGTGGTAGGATGCCCAGGAAACTGCAGATCTGCACCCTCTGTCTGGCCAGTATCTTCCCAGTTATAACCACTTGGTGTCAGGTCTCTATATGAGCTCGAGTTGTACTCATCGAACGGCCTGCTAAGGTGGACTTTCTTGCTTTGTTCTCTTTGCTTATTGGGTTTTCTGCTCTGATCTTCTGACTCCTGAGTATGAGACTTCTTTGTTGTCTGAACAGACCTGGAGCCACTGGGGGCAGGTTGCCCCGACTCTTTGTTTTCCTCTGATTGTGGGCACCCAGGATGGCCAAGCAATTGAGCCAAGGCAGCCTGAACCTTAGAGTAGGCGCCACACAATGTACAGAATTCCTCTGCATCATGGTTTATCTGGACGTCAGGGTGGGTCGTATGAAGGCTCTTCAATGCCAATACTCCCCCGGGAAGCTGGCTGTAGGCAACAGTCGCTGACAAATTTAAGATGACCTAGGATTATGAAAAAAGTGAGACAACAGACATTAATGGATGTTACTGTATATTCAATACCTGTTCACGTATATTCCAATAATCTAGTTAAATATACCTTGTCTGGGTCCAGGTGTTCATGATGCTCAGTTACAACGAGTTCATACTTCTTCCCATCCACTTCCAGAATGTGCTTGCTCTGTTGAATAACTCTCTGTGCCACTGTGTGAGAGGGGTCAGCAGAGGGAAATCAATCTCAGTCTGCAAAGCATCCTGACTAAGCGCTTTCACTATTGGCCATACCATTGACTTGCATGCCAAGAGTCCAGCTCGGGTAAATTACCGGTGACAGCCCATACAGTGTGATACCTTACTACTACCTTGCAAATGATTGCAACAAGATTTTGGAGTCTTTAGAGTGAAAGTTAATGAAGCATTTATGTTGTACCATGAGACCTGTGTGTAAATGTAGTTAATATAGTCTATTCAATTCAATTCAGCTGAAAGGGGCTTTATTAGAATGGGAAGCCAATACTTACATCACCAAAGCAAGGGTGAAATAAAAACAACAAAGAGAAAATGTCTCTGTAGTAGAACCAATTAATTATTCAGACCCCCCCCCCAAAACCCACCCACACTTCATATGCACAGACATGCACACACCCTGACCCTACCAACCTTCACTGTCCTCGAAGGTGATGAGGGCCGAAAAGGGTGTCGCCTTGACAATAGTGACAAAGTCTATTTCCCCTCCTCCATTCTTGACCCTCAGGAAGTGGATAATTAGCTTGTCTTTCAGTCTGTCTTCCTCAATGTCTGTGGGCAGACCACTCACCCTCACCATCCTGCCCCGCTCTGCCATCTGCTGGGAGAAACACAATCACCGCTGTGAAGGAGAAACTCTCAGAGTGACAGGAATGTCATGAGTCTGTAGAAATGGTGAGCGCGGACATCAACATGACGGTGACAAAAAGTCAAAGCACAATGCCTCTTTAAGAAGCTGTTAATGTTAGTATCAGGCAGCCATGCAAAGACCAGACCCCACCCTTGCAAATAGGAAGGGAGACATATTTGATAATAGAACACCCTCTATTGGGGGTTTCTATGACACTACATCAACATACTCAAAAATTTCCATTTCAGTTGCCATCATCAATGACTTTTTATTGAGATTATGAACAAATCATTGTCAGTCTCAAATTTACTCAGGTGTCTTCTCCAGTTCCTCTGAAGTTGAATTATTTAAAAGAGTGGCAGAATAAGACAATCACAGGCTTTGATAGCTGACATTTGATTTAATGCGCTAAACTATAATGAGATATTTAATCTGTATTGCGGAAGAAAACGCGTTTCCCTCTTTTAGTGTAAATCCCTTTGTGTAATTTGGATAGCAATGTGAAAATGGTAAATAATCTGCACAGATTGTGACAAATGATGAAGTTAACGCCCCTTCTTCTTCCTTCCCACCTACAGTTTGCAGCTATTTTGATGGCAACAAATTGACAAAGAATAAACAGCTGGAAAAGCAGCAGTTTTGTTGACTAGATGTTGCCCCCCCCCCACACACACACACACACACACACGACAGGTATTTGTAATCATATCAGCTAATGTTAAATTGTAAACACTTATAGTCAAATCTGCAACCAACCTGCAAGATATGCGAAAAATGTCGAATGTTCACTTCTACAGGATGTCACAAAAATGTATCTAGACGCGAGAGGGAAAGCCACATTCGCAGAGCTGAGTGTCAAGGAAGTGGAAAAATCAAACACATCTAAACTGTCAATCTGTCTATCGCACTATCGACGGATCGTGTGTTTGAACCTGACGCTGTTACTGTGTGTCTTGTATAATCTCTCAGATTTGTAATCGGTACTGACCTTACAAGTGTTTCACGGCGGTTTCTCTCTATCTTTCAAAGACCGTAACACTTTACAAGCCACGGAGGAAAAGTGAAACTACAAACTGTTGTGTGATTCATCGTGTCAGCGCGAGGGGGCGACCGTGTGCCGTCCTACTGCGTATCCTACTATACAGAGTTTCTTCAGCCTATACAAAGTACTATACTCGGGGACTTCCATTTCATGTTAGGCTACTTTATATTAACACTTCCTCACATTTCAGAGCGAAATATTGTACTTTTTATTTCACCACATTTACTTGACACCTTACTTTGCGTCTTCTTAATTCAAAATATAGATCAACTAATAAGTTATGATATAGGCCTATTATCATAGACTAAGCTACCTTACAGTATATAAAGCACTGGAATCTAGACATGAATACACTATCACTAATTATAATCCTATAAGTAATTAATATTTCTACTTTTGGTTCTCTGAATTTTTTTTTTTTTTTTTTTACTGGTAACAGAGTAATTTTATTATGTGGTATTGCCACTTCCACTTAGGTAAGAGTGAAAGCTAACCTGGAGAATGACAGATCTGAACTAATTTTGTCTAATAAATGCAGCATGTGTGTATATCTGTGGTCTGTCAGCCTGAATGTGACAGGCAGGCTTATCAATCCAACCAAAAATACAAAAGGTCATACAATTCTCTAATTTACTTCATAGTGAGACAGATTTAATCAGTATCTGGTATTGCATTTGTCATATACATATTGCTCTTTTCTGTGGGTATGGTGATTTACAGGAATGCCATTATTTCTTCACGCGCTAAACTGCAATGATAATGCTCTCTGACGTGGTGGAATGTAACCAAGTACATTTAAAAATTTTCATGATACTTTATACATTTCAGGGAGAAATATTGTAGCCTTCTTTACCCCACTGCATTTATTTGATAGCTTTAGTTACTAGTTACTTAGTTACTAGTTACTTTGCATATCAACACAATAATTTATTAGTTGCATATCAACTAATAAATTATTGTGTATTATCGTAGATTAAGCCACCCTGCAGTATAAAGTAGTAAAAATGTGTCCCACCTTTATCAGCAGTAACTACACATCATCATTCTGAATAATGAGAACTTTTACTTTTGATGTATTTTTATGCTAAATAAATAGATAAAGTTAAATAAAGTTTTCAATGAAGTAAAATATGGCTCTCTGTCATTTCACAGGTCATATAGCAGGGATATAATAGCAGCCAAAAGGTAGAACAAAATATGGGACAGAAAGTATTAATTTCAAGCTGAAATGAAACTTGCACCCTCACTTTGTTCACAAAGTGTGAGTGCAAAACTTTAATTTGAATGCCTACAGTAGACTGCTCGATACTGAATGGGTTATGGGATATGATATTGTACCGATTTATTTATTCAACCAATTAATTCTTAACATTATGTGAGGTCCACCCTGACTCTAACAACAGTAGGTGGCAGTAATGCGTCATTACAGTGAATGCTTGCAACTCAAACCTGCCGTAGAAGAAGAGGACTGTTTTTTCTGTCCAATCAGAGGCTGCATTGCTTCATCCAGGGAGCATGCGCAGTGGGACAGGTATTTCATGTGTTGTACGTCGTGTCCGGTGGAGGTCACAGACATCTGAGAGAGACCGAGGTGAGTTATGACACTCATTGAAAATACTTACTTGCATCGTTAAAAATGTTTGTATAGCAGTAATTACAAAGCGAGTTGGAGACGTTATTTGTTTGTGTTATCCCTAAATAACGTTATATCATTCACGCGTGTGGAGTAAGCTATCAGGGAGAGGTAACATGGTACGCATGTTACCTCGGCGTGCTATTTGAACTCGGCCGACACGAGCTTTATTGACGTTATAATATATCGTACAATTTTTATGAGTTGTAATTTAATAGTCGTAAACTAGAAGCTACAGAACTCTGTCAAGTAAGCTTCACTTGTCAGCTGCCTGTGTTCACAACTAGCTGGTGAGGCAATGCTAACTACTGAGCTAACACCCTCAGCCTTGGCATCACTCAACTCAAGGCCAAAGCCAACTGTTATTGGAAAGAAGGGGTTTAACCTGGCTTGACAAAGACAAATGCCTAAATGGTTTACAATGCGTAGGAGTAGTTTTACCAACGTGTACTAAAAGTTTCAACCTCTTGTCTCCGCTTCATCGCCTGCAGGTTGCTGTCATGGCCAAGCTATTTGAGTCGATTGGGAAGTTGGGACTGGCCCTCGCCGTTGGTGGAGGTGTTGTGAACTCTGCCCTGTTTAATGGTGAGTGTTGGTCAGTTGGATACCTTACATATCAATTAAGCAACCAATTAATCGCTTCAAACATTTTCAAAGCAAAAAATTCCCTTTCTGGATTCGCAAATATAAGGATTTGCTTCTTTTCTTTGTCTTTCTCCATTGTGCTGAAACAATTTGTCGATTAAATGATTGACAAAAATAATTTACAATCATGTTGGTTTTTTTTTTTTTCATTCGTCATCTTTCGAGCTAAAAAGTTGAAACACTGATAAATACTTTATAATTCTAGAGAGGATTTGTTGTTTTTCTTTGTCATAAATCACAATAAACTGAATTCCTTTGGGTTTTGGAGTGTTGCACTAATGAAATATATGAGGAAACCTTCAGTTCTGTGAAGTTGAAATGGGCTAGTTTTGACAATTGTTAGATATTTCATAGACCAAGTGACTGATTAATCCGACAACAAAAAAGAATCTTCACATTAATTCACAATGAAAATAAATGTTGGTTGCACCCCTGTTGAATGGTAAACTATATGTTTAGTATATCTTTGGTTTTGGAGTGTTAGTCAAAACAAGCACTCAGAGGATGTCACCTTGATGTTTTTTTTGGGGGGGGGGGTTGGATCAAGAAAATAATTGTCAGATTAATCAATAATGAAAATAGTATTAAGAGGCAGCAATACACATAACTCATTACTGATCACTCTTCAAGCATAATTGTGGACATTTCCAACTTGGGGCCTTTTTATCTAGTTATTGTGGTGATTTTGGATGTCCTTCCCATCAACAGCATTCAGTCAAGAAAGTCTGGGTGATCATGACGAGTTTAATACAAAACACAAGCAAATAATGATTTGATTACACATAAGAATCAAGAGAACATGTTGTAAATCTGGAAATGCCCCAAGACCAACACAACATAAGTTTCTGGGAGACACTAAAAACTGATATTCTACACTGGGTTTTTATTTTAATTTTAACTTTCTGATTATGCGATACTTGCTAGGTATCTGCCAGCAATACTTTGGATTACTTACCCTCAGTATTCAGTGTCCCCTGGAAATCTCCTTGTACTTGTGTATAATTTGCAGCTTTTATCTATTTGCTTGTGTTTCTTTATTTGCAAAGTGTGTCTTTATGTTACATTTATGTGGTCAAATTTATAGTTTGATTGATAATTGATAATAAACCCGATAGCAGCCGTGTAGCTCCAGGTAGCTCTTCAGCAATATATGATTTCAAAAGTTCTTTATAAGACATTTGACGGTTGCAGAGCTATAAATTATAAAAATGTGTATGCTGTATACACAAACCTTTTGGCAGGGAGAATAATTATCCATCTTTCCACAGTTGATGCAGGGCACCGGGCTGTGATATTTGACAGGTTCAGAGGAGTGCAGGATGCTGTTGTCGGTGAAGGTACCCACTTCCTCATTCCCTGGGTTCAGAAGCCTATCATCTTTGATTGCCGCTCCCGACCACGCAACGTGCCTGTCATCACAGGCAGTAAAGGTACATTAACAAACTACTGAACTTTTGCTCTGCCATCTTCTGATTTAGCATATACACATTCTGTGTCTCTGGCTTTATTGGTTGTTTGAGGATTGTTTTACTGTAGACTGTGTGCAGTATGAGTTACTTGTGAACCATACACCCTACAGATCTGCAGAATGTGAACATCACATTGCGTATCCTGTTCCGGCCGGTGACCGCCCAGCTACCACGCATCTTCACCAGTATTGGTGAGGACTATGATGAGAGGGTGCTACCCTCCATCACCACAGAGGTCTTAAAGGCTGTAGTGGTGAGTGTCAAAAAGAGAAACAACAAATAAATAGATGAAAGTTTTATTTTGTTGAGAATGAGCAGCTAAATAGAGTCATAAACTGCTGTGTCTGTTTTTTCTTTTTTCACAGGCTCGGTTTGATGCTGGTGAGCTCATTACCCAGAGAGAGCTTGTGTCTCGGCAGGTCAGCGAGGACCTTACTGAAAGAGCCTCCACCTTCGGCCTCATCTTGGATGACGTGTCACTGGTATGAAGCTGCTGGCAAATTTTGCAGTGGTGTTCATTTTATATTTATGGGGAAACAATTGTATTGTTCATTTTAAGTGGGAGAAACAAATGTATTGTGTTCTTTCAGACGCACTTAACCTTTGGCAAGGAATTCACAGAGGCCGTTGAGATGAAGCAGGTGGCCCAGCAAGAGGCTGAGAGGGCCCGTTTTGTTGTAGAAAAGGTATTTTTAATGTACAAATCAACCCTGTTATCCCTATGCTACTTGAACATTTAAAACTGTGTATGCAGTCTCTATTGTGAAAAAACTAACCAGATTAATCTACTTTTTATCGTTGTAGGCAGAGCAACAGAAGCAGGCTGCCATCATCTCAGCAGAGGGAGACTCTCAAGCTGCCTTGCTCATCGCCAACTCCCTGATGGAGGCTGGCGATGGTTTGGTAGAGCTACGTAAGCTGGAGGCAGCTGAGGACATCGCCTTCCAGCTCTCCCGCTCCCGCAACGTCACTTACCTGCCCCCAGGACAGGGCACTCTGCTCCAGTTGCCCCAGTGATGACATCTCACCCCATGTCCACTCCTACTCATGCTGTCTCCAGCTGTTACATGGGCCATGGAATGGGTGGTTGGAGGATTCAATAAAGGACTCTCAACTTCACACACACATTCCTCCCACTCTTTCTCTAACCAACTCTGGACTGGGCTCTGCTGATAGCAGCATGGTGGGGAGACAAAGTGAGAGGTCTGAGATGGATGCATTTATGAAGTCAACCCATGTGTAAGGAAGTGGAGAGGGGTAAATCACTCCCTCTGTGGTAACCTATATATGTAGTACTTTGTTTTGAGAAGAATTAACAATGCAGTAAATTCTCTAAAGATTTGTCTTTACTACATTGTTTCAGATTGAGAGCACTGCATGTGTGGAAAGCAACTGACTGATTTTTACATAAAGTGAAAACAGCGTGATTCCTTCAAAAGCTGATAGATTGTCAACAATAAAAGCTATTACTGTGTCATTGTTGTGCTGGAAAGTTTCATCAAATTGTATAACTACATGCAATCCAAGGAAAGGCTCTACTTTGGATTCACACTGTAAGACATGAATGATTAGAGATGGTTTATTCATTTGAATTAAAGTCTCTGTGCTCTGACTTGCTAGATGGATAAAATTTCTGAAATACATCTCAGCTCTCTAGCAAATTATGTTCAAACATGATATTGCCACCCCCAGTTAATTGGAATGTGCCTGTTCAGAAAATATATAATGATTCTTCATTCTCTGTTGTTGTCGCTGTGTCTTTAGTTTGTGTGGAGACAGTATAAGGCCTGCATTTGAGAAATGGCTCAACTAAAAAATAAAACTGTCTTTCTACCTCCCAGTGGTCACACTTGTTGTTCAAGGCCACGAGTTGTACAGCATTTCCTATTGAGTGTAATCATAGTTGTCACCACATGAGGGTGCTTCATAATTGCATCCTCTGTGATTAAAATAGCAGAGAAGCAGTCAGTTGTGCTGTTCACTGTTGCATCCGTAACAACTGCTCCATTGTGACATTTGAAAATTGGATAAAAGTTTATCTGTCACTGGTAGCTTTGACAGAGTGAAAGTTTGGCTAGGAAGAAATGAGAAGCTTTTAAAACTTTTCAGATATATAGTTTAAAATGAAATCAAGTCAGATTTATGAAACTAATTTTAGAAGAAGTTATGGTTGAGATTAATATGACTGCATTTCAGAATCAGATGTCTTATATCCATCAATTTTTAAACCCTTTTCCTCTGCATTGTTGTGGATGGTTATTTTTTTAATCTTATAATTTGGTCACTTTCTGTAAGGTCTCCACAAAAACAAAAAGGGGAAATGCACAAAAACTTAGCCTCCTTTTAATGGTATATGACCATCTTTCAATTAACCTCCGACAGGTTACCAGGGCAAAAATTTGTTTCTGGGCCATTATTGACCCCCACATGGCAAAACTGAACATTAGAGCTGAAATGAACAGTTAATTAATTGATTAGATGATTGACATACATTTAAATCTGAGCAGTTTTGATTGTTGATTGATTGTTTTAGTAAATTTTTAAGGAAAAATGCCAAAAATTCCCTGGTGCCAGCTTCTGAAATCTGAATATTTGGTAGTTTCACAGTTTCAACACTTGGGTATTTGACTGTTGGTCATATGTTCACTTGGACTTCAGGGAATAATGATGGGCAATTCTAACTATTTTTTGGCTTTTTATACATTGAGCAATCAATTTATCATCAAAGAATAATAATGATAATGGTAATAATGTCAGCTGTATTGATAATGAAAAATTATTTTTGATTGCATTTTTAATACTTCCATGATTTAATGATAATACCATGTGTTAATTACTTGACACAGAAAAAATGGAGGCAATTTGATAAAACACAACTTTACAACAAATGAGCACAGTATAAACTAAAACAGTTAAGTCCTAAAACCAAATTTTGACCCAGTCCCAAGTCCCTCCACAAGATGAAGGAGCTATCAGTTGATACAGTTGTAGCTACCTAAAGTGGTATACACATTTTTACCAAGTTTGCGATTAATCAAATAGTTTTGACTTAAATTATATGGGGTAAACTTGGGGGGCCCGAGTAGTTGCCCACTTGGTAACCCAGCTTTGAATGTGACAGCCCAATTGTAAATGAAGATGGGCCCCTTTCTACGTTGATGGACTTGGACTCAGGTTTAGTTTGTTTGTAAACTCTGCCCAACATCAAGAATTGTTTAAAATCGTTTGAAATAATGAAGTTTATAAAAAAAAAAACACACAACATCAAACTCATAATACTAAAGAGTTGATTATAAAAATAGAATAAATTAATTAGACTTTCAGGATTTGCCTTTGAGAGGATAAACGGTCCTCAGGGTCTGCTCATTATTATTTAATCAATCAGTGATTTCAGCCCAGCGTGCGCGCGCGCCGTGCCCTGTCTGGTTTGGAGTGGAGACCCAGACACGCCGCCGCGCGCCTGCTCAGACAGCGGCCTGAATGCCTGGGATGAGCGCGGGACGGCGGTGGTACGCGCGAGAGCTTGGCCGGGCCACGTAGCGGGGCTGAGGACGCACCGGCGCAGGTACCTCCGCAGCCCGCAACGCACATTAACAAATAATCTCCCACATTTTTGCACAAAGAAGACCACTGGCATTTATAAATGCACATCCGCGAATGTAGAGGGGGGGCGAGCGAGAGAAGTGCGCGTGCAACCCTGAATCTGTGCAACTCTGATTGCACGGACGCAAGAGGGAGGTCGCTCTTGACGGAGGTAAGCCAGCAAACCGACAACAAAAATGTTGCCATATAACTTAAATTTATGCACTTACGTGTATGACAAGCATGGCAGCCGCTGGGAGAAGCACACACGGGTCACCGGTAACCAGTGGCCGAAGCTACGGTGAGAAATATCCGTTAGCGGAGCTAGCAGTGACTTTGTGACAGTGTCGAGTTGAGTGGGTTTGTCAGAAACGTTACAGCAGTCTGGGTTTTGTTAGGAAAGCGGTGCTTTTCATTTTTGCGCGACAAGAAAGATACGTTGATAACAGAGCGTGACATCGGCTTTTCATCTCGCTTCATGTGAGTCCTATTACTGTCACACTTCCCCATGAAAGTGCAGTATCGAAATTAAGTGTAACGTTAATGCTAAATATCCGACGTTGACGCTAGCTTTAAGCTAACTAGCCCCAATCTGGGCGGTTTTGGGTTAAAAAAAAGTGAAAGTCCTATCTGTTGTTAGCTCATGCATGTCAGCAATAGTAGCCTTTGGATGGTATATCTTATGCAAGGTAATATGCTTGTTATTCCGGCTGAGTAGCCTTAACTGCACTAGAATATCTACAGACTGCACCTTGAGCTAATGTAGCCAAGTTAGCTTGTCATGTGTGTGTGCAGGTTAGTACCTATGGATGCTAGCTAGCTAAGTAGCCTAAGTTGGCCAGGCCTGCACAGTGTTACTGCTGTTCGGTGTACAATGTTGCCTTTTTGTTTTAACCCTTTCTTCGCTTCATACAAACTGCATTGTGAACTCAAACTCCTATACCTGAAAAGATTTCCCTCTGCAAGATGTAGCACTATAAAATCAGAATGTAGCTGCTGCACCATATCTCGTTGTACTCCCCAAAATTATGTATTATGTTGGTTTCGCGCTGTGTAACATCGATTGGCAACAGTGGAAGGCTTGTTGAACCCAGTGCTTCCGTTTGTAATTCAGTAATTTTTCAGTATTGTAATACAACAGGCATCAGCTTTTAAACAAGAGTCATGTTGAATATTCCCACGTTATCTTTCCATTTTCAGAATGCATATATCACAGTATTAAACATTAGTGGCTTCTGTCTCCTGCCAGGCTTTATAGTGTCTCTCCTTGTGTGGTGATGAGAATAAAGAATACTATGGAAAGGGAGAGCTTAAGGTGGCTGAGATTATAACCCTCCCACTCTTCTATCATATCTCAGACCAAAAACACTAGGCACTGCTCTATGACCCGATTATGGGCTTGAGGGCCAAATACCTATGGAGGCATGGAGCACCCCTGCAGTGCACCACACAGTGAGCTGGTTAAGGTCTTATGAGTTTGGACAGAGTGAGGAATGTGAACCCTCACACGGTCCGCTACAAGCTGCAAAAGGGAAAGCTCATTAAAGTCTAGACTTGAGAGGGAGCATGGATTTAAGGAGCACTGCTGCATAATAAGAGGTAAACGTGACACATTTTGACTGCCTCAGATGTCTCATCTGCTTTACTGTCACAGTTCAGCCATAAGCACTTGCGAACACTTGCACCATTTAGTGCTCTTGGTTTAAGTGTTATATAGTGCCTTTGCAGTAACACTTCCAGCATGTGTCATTCAAATTTTAAGCCACAGTAGCATCTATCCGGTATATGACTGGCTTTGTGGCTTACCCTATATAAAATGAGTTTTGGTTTCTCATCACATCTCTGAAACATACTCAAGAAGGGTTTAAATTAGTTATTGTTGAATAAACTTGGTTTCTGGGCAAGTTTTTCTGAACATTAGTTATGCTTGGGATTCCTGAGATGGAGCTGTCAGAGAGACATTCATTGATGCAGTTTTAGTTTTTTCATCAGTATGCAGAGTTCATCTTTAAAAGCTATCCAAACTAAAAAAAAAAAAAAAAAGGGCAGTCAAAAATGATGATCATTCCAATAGGTTTGACCTCCTGATCTGACAAAGGTGATTGTTTTTGACTTACTACCAGTGATATTGAAGTTTGCGCTGTACTTGATTCCCACATCAAAGGGTTGCATTATTTCACTATGAGTGAAACTCTTAAAGTGACTCATCGTTGATAATGATAAGAGAGTGGAAGGATTTTACTCGATGTGAGTTACATAACACACTGGGTGTTTATTTATTTGCACGTGTGTTTTTTGTGACAGTTTTCAGCAGTGAATTTAGTACTTTTAATGAATTTTATATTGTGATTGGAAAATTAAATACATTCTTAAAATCAGCTGTAGTACATATTTTCAAGTCCATAAATATTTATTTAACAGGCATGAGTTTAAAAGAGAATGGAAGCAGCTGATTGCACTTTTAAGTCAAGTTCAGGCAGTGGGTTCTCATGCAATTTATATTCCTCTGTCATCCAGAAGTAGGATAATCTATTAGGCTTTGTGTCTAAGACAGCCATGTGAGTTGAGTTGCTCTGTCAGTGCAGAGCTTGCCCTCCCCTTGTGGTCTTAATGCTCTCAGAGCTGCTGTCCAATTCTCAGAAAGGATCAGAGTCAGCATGCACAAGAAGACAGGTGTGTCTCTTATGTGTGGGTAGTCAAATTCTGCATAAATGGCTTTCACTTGCAAAACTGGTAGAACAGATTGGTATATGTTTGGTTTTAATATAAACGTAACAAACACAGTACAGTTCAATTTACACATGCCTTCATTCTTGCATGCTTTTTATTAGTCTACCTAAATAAAGTGACAGGAGGAACAAGACAATCAATTTTAGGATTTACCAACATGGATTATAGCAGTTAATTTGAATCAGCTTGACCAGAATTTAAATTCAGATTGAATATTGAGATACACAGCGTCTTTAAAAGAGCAGACAGAGCATCTTTAAAAAATGGATCAATAAACAAAGTTGAAACTGATAAAAATGTAAAATACTGTATGTAAATCTCCTTTTTTTTTTTGATTTCAACAATAGATCTGTCCTTTGGAATTATTCTGGTTTTATTACAGATTATTCTGAGCAAGTGCAGCTTCTGTTCATTTTGAATTTGAGCTGGAATTGAACTCTCAATAATAAAGAAGTGGTAAGGACTGTAATAAATGTAAGAGAAAGAAATAATTATTTTTGTGGCTCAATTGTGAAAAATACTCATGATCACAGTTGATGAAATAATCAGGGTTATCATTTTTGCATAGCTCTACGCTCATAGCTATCCCATCCCTTACACACACATTTGCTCCTTTTCCTGGCAATCTGGCAAAGCCTGCATGTTAACCATGACTGTAAATCAAAGATTAGAAATAAGTAGTCTTCATGTTTGAATATGAAAGTCTCTCTTGGCTAATTTTTTATTTATTTATTTATTTTGTGCACGGTGCAGCAATAGTTGCTAAAAGAAATAAAGCATAAGATGTTCGTGAAGCCACAGGAGAGGGTGTTTGTCATCTCTAGGAGGGGAAACTTGTTTTTTTGTTTCTTGCTTAGGGAGGTTTTCTAGTGAACTAACCGCCCTGGTGCACACTCATTATGGGGAGTAGGGTGTGAGGTTGTTTGAGGTCTTTCAACTGTAAGCCAGGGACACCCCAACATCTATGTACACAAAGGTCAGGAACCAACAAACAAAGTAAGTATAAAAGTAAGGAGTCCACAAGAAAGTAGATTTGTTTTTAATACTTTCATTTTCATCTTTAACTTGCAAACATGATATTACTGTAGGTTCCAAACTGCGCAGTGCTTATGCTTCATTGAAAGGTTGAAATACAGTTTCCTGTGGTTATATTTGCAATACAAGCTCCTGAGCTGTGGTTACACTATGCTCTCTATAACAGTCAATGGGAGGTATGCGCACATCAGTGTGTGTTGTTTTAAACTAGAGACAATCTCGTTTTTAATCATTGGTTTGCTATCGAGTTTATTGTGAAGGAATCAAAATTCAGATGATGTACAGTGATTGCAACTATGTTTACATATAGTCCATTGCAATTGATGTTGAGCTATTAACAAGCTTTTCAAGTTTTTTTGCTCTGAGGCTCATATAAAATCTTTTATCTGATCATCTTGAATAAAATATTTTACATCTTTTTCACAGTGGGGAAAAGTTGTGCCTTGTATTTCCATTGTTGTAACAATCGGAGTGAGGTGTTTCACTTGTGGTCTGGAAATATTTAGACTGCTGATTTTCTGAAGTTGAATCCTCTCACATTCATGTGTAAAGGCTGTGGTTTCAACTCCTACTCACAATACTGAAACATTTGCGGGCAAATGTGGTGCTGCTTAGTGCTGAAATCTTGACAATATGGCTGTAGTTTCAGTTCACAGACTCTCTAGTGACACTAGACAGGAGAACAAAACCTTTTCTAAACTCGTATATATTTCTACCTGTTTCTCTCTCTTATCTTACAGGTAATGCACTGTAAATGGCTCTTCAAGCAAGACACAGTAGTCCCTATAGCAGTTCCATGTCAGGCATTCAGCTTGTCTTTACCTGCTCTGCAATTTGAAGACACTGGCGCCCTGCAGAGCAGCAGTCTTCAGAGAAACTGAATCTGGAACCTGCCTACACCTCACGTAATAACTGGAGTGGAATTTAGCTTCAAATGTTCAGCATCAAAGACAAGGAGCCTTTGATTTTTCCAGTCTGATTTTTAAGCATATGAAACAAAACTTGGAGCAGATTGTATGTCTTTCCAACTGCATTTCCTACCTTGGACAGCATGGATGCTCTTTTTGAATCAGGTTGACTGTCTCTCACCTCATCCCCTCCTTCCTGTCTCCTCAGTAGAAGGAAGGCGGGGGGTTGGTGTGGCATCCCCTGCCCCTCCTTGTAGAATACGCTAGTCTAACCAGGCACGCACCATATCAGTAACTCTTCTCCATTGCCTTGTGGGCCTACCAACTCCATCCCTCTATTCCCTCTCCCTCTTCATGAAATCCTGCCAGAGCCTCAAGGAAGAGGTTTCCGTCCCTAGCCTTGGCGGGATGTCACAGGAGGAAGGACGCAGGGCGCCAGTGTCCCAGTCCTATTTTCATTCCCCTAACCCAGATCTGGACCTGACAGGCAAGCTTTACAAGAGGGAGGTTGGTGGTAAGCCTTATTCTGTGTTAGTGGACAATAAAATGGCAGCCAAGACATCCATGGGAGATCAGAATATTGGTCAGTTGCCCACACAACATGTGACTCCACAGCAACATCAGCAGTATTTCAGAGAGGGAGGAGCAGGACAGGAGGTGGGGATGCAGGGGTCCCAGGCTGGAAACAATGGCACCTCTGACGAAACTGAAGATGATGATGACGATGAGGAAGAAGAGGGTGAGGATGAGGATGGTGAAGAGGAGGGTTTCAAGCGTGAGCAGATCATTGTTGAGGTTAACCTGAACAACCAAACTCTTCATGTATCCAAGGGTGACAACAAAACTGGAACCACAGCAGATGACTCTGAGCGAGCTGGCAGCGATGAGGAGGAGGAGGAAGAAGAGGAGGAAGAGGAGGAGGAGGAAGAGGAGGATAGCCCTGATGAAGAAGAGGAGGAAGACGACGAAGATGAGATTGAAAGCCGAAGAACGAGGTCAAAGAGGGCCCGTCAGGGTGCCAGTAGCTCAACAGCCCCCAGCCAGCCGCGGAGGAAAAGCCTCAGAACAGCTCTGAGCACTGCCACTGCTGGAATGACCACCAGGGGGAGACGGAAGCGAATTGAGCCTCCAAAGAGCATGCGCAGATCAGCCAGGTCAGCCCCATCGTCTGCTGGCTCCACAACCACAAATACAGGAGGGAAAGCAGAGGTGGAGGAGAAGGAGATGCTGGCATGTGAAAAGTGCCCTCGAGTGTTCAACACACGCTGGTACCTGGAGAAGCACATGAATGTTACACACAGGCGAATGCAGATTTGTGACAAGTGTGGCAAAAAGTTTGTCCTGGAGAGTGAGCTGGCCTTACACCAGCAGACTGACTGTGAGAAGAACATCCAGGTAAAGCAAACCCCTCCTGTCTCATACCATACCTCTGTAATTACTCTAGCAAATGTTATTCTTAATGGAAGGGCAGCGTATTTTTAGGGTTTACCATACTGTTAGATACTAAGTTTTAAGATGTAGATAAATTTAGCACCTACTATGTAGATTTATTGGTTGTTTTCATGCATTAACCTGATGTTTAAGTGGATTATTTTGTCCACACATGCAGAGTACAGTCAACATTTGAAACATTGCTGTTGTAATTCCTGTTACACATAGTGTGAGGTAGTTAGTTTTGTTTTGTCTCTCGGCAGTTAAATGCCCACACCCTCTGAAACTGCAAACATGTAGAAAGCTGTTTTCTCATATGAACTCCAGACAATGTCCAGAGAATCAGGTGTGGACATTGTCCAGAGTTGCCCTTTCACTCATGTAGCACACAGCAGGTGTGTGACCATGTCAGACGCGTTCTCACCTACTGGAAATACTCCATCTGGTTTAGGCAAGGAGTGATGCCTGGGTAGAGCATGCAGAAGGCAGGTTAGAAATGACATCATCATATCTACTCGCTCGCTGTGAATTCTCTGGACAATGACCGGTTCTATACACACATCAGCTCAATTGGACATTACACAGACTTTGTATTTGGGAGCTGGCGGGGTAAAGTCTGTTTCATGACTGATTCGGACAATTGCATTCTGACATTCAGCTCCTCTGCGTAATGTCCGGATAAGTTCAGGGTTGCATGTGTGAAAGCACTAGAAAAGTCATCAGCTGCCATTGAAGACATTTCAGAAATGTGGCTCCAATATGGTTTCACTTCTCTAAAACTGAAAAAGTTGATTTGGCATATTAATACTCAAGGGTACTGTGTTTTGAATTGCTTAATTTAGCCCTCTGTTTTGCTGGGTTTGACTTGCATCCTTAGTTACTTTGTGATGACAATATTGTCAGCTTACCTCAGCTGGCTAAAGTAGTTGAAACTGTGAAGCTCTGAAGATACAAGTTTTTTAATGATTAGTTGAGCTTTATAAGGGAAATATTTACTGATGCTGAACCTGATAATACACCTATTCTGCCTTGTAGGCAACACACAAATGAAATGCTTCGTGCATGTAATCTTCAGTGAAGTCTTGTCAAGCAAATCAAATGCATTGACACACTGACTTGCAAATATGACATTAATGCAGTGTCCATAATAACTAACTGCATAGCTATTCATCCATTTCAACTGTAATGCACCAAAACATATATAGTGTATAATAATTATATATATAATTATTTGAATGGAGATCACTTGTATTGAATCAAAGTGTTAAAAGTGACTGTCAACTGGTTTGTCAATTTCGTGGTCAAAATAATATTATTAAGATAAAAATAAAACCAACCAGAAAACCAATTAAGGACAGTTTAAATCTGTGTTAAATAGGTTGACTTCATCAACTAAACGTCTCAGTGATAAAAGTACCAGTGAGGCTCCCAACAGGCCTGTGGCAGCTGTGGCTCTTCAGGGTTCATAGCTGAGATGAAGGACGATGTGCACACAACTGTTTCCCCTGGTGCTTCACCAGTTTTATGGAAGAGGAAAAGAGAGACACTGTTGGAGAAAAATCATATGATATATTGGCCAACGTTTGCTGCAAGGCAAGTAGGAGATTCTAAAATTTGAAGAAGTCTCTTTGATCTGATGAGACCACAATGAAGTTACTATTTTTCAATCACCACGCTGATTCCTGAATTGATATTTTTATTATTCACACTGGGCTAGTAGCAACAGCGCAGGAGCTAGCTGGTTTGCCTGGTAGCATCAGCATGTGAACTAGAGAGTTGTTTGTTGGAATGGCAGCCATAGGTCACTGGTTTCCCTCTCAGTAAATAAATTGTCATGTTTAACTGTGCAGCTGGCTGGTAAGAGTTTAACTTCGCTAACTGCTAACTGTTGTTTTCCGAACATATGTTGACTGGAAGCTTCAACTGGAGGCTTCCACTTTGATTCATTTCATTATAACAGTACTTTATTTACCTTTATTATAACAGTGTTTTATATACCAGTACTTACCAGTACAGTACTTAATTTAACTTCATTTATCTTACCTATAATACTACTTTATCTAATTTTATTGTAATAGTAGTTTATCTAACTTAATTATAACAGTTCTTAACTAACAGGTAGAAGACTAATTTATTTGTCTGTTGTCTACTGACCTCTTAAGTGGTTTTCATGTTGACAAATTTTTCATTAGCATGGTTTTAAGACAGAGCCAAGGGGTTTATAGCTACAATGCTGCTGCTGAAATAAAACTTAGACTCACTGACATGTGATTTGCATTGTTTTGACTCCTGATATACATAAACTGAATCTGAGCTCAATCACTTTTCAAAAAGAGAATAAGAATCCGCAAGTCAATTAGCAGCTGAGGATAGATAAGAAATCCACTATAGATCAGACCATCTCATTTTGCTGGGGCCTTCATGGTTTTCGGAGGAAACATCTTCATAGACCTTGTCCTCTGAAGGATGTGACCACGGAATTGGGACACAGCTATAGTCTCTAGAAGTGTATGGTCTAGTGTTTAAGTGAACAAAAATTAAAAAAAAAAAAAAAATCAAAACTTCAAATCATAATACTTCTAGAATGGTCATACTTAAAAATCACAATACATATATAATCAGCTTACAAGTATGATGGAATCAAATTGGGAAGTGAGCACATTGTCACAGCCTTATCGAAAAAATTTGATAAATGTGACTAAATTCATGTATTTAATAAATAACTGTAGGCCTTATTGTCCCTGCCTCATTCTTTGATCAGTATGGCTGTGGAAAAGGTATCAAAGTGCATTTTATGTAGTATTAAAAGTTCTGTAATTTAATCTAGAATCACATCAACAACCAAATTTGCATTGATTAAATCTTTATATTTAGTTTTTGTTTCTTTTCCTACCAGCATCTATGCTGCCTGCTCTTATTGACTGTCATCAGAGGATATCCAGGGATTTCAGAAAATTAAATCCATGCTGGATTTATCCAGCAGAGGGAGCTGGAGTACCAGGAAACTATTTAAGCAAATGGGAACCATCTAAAGAACCCTAAAGTTTAGTTTATCATGATGCCTGTCAGCAACAATAAGCTTAGTCTTTCTTTCTGCTTTTATGTGTTCTTCAGTGTGTCTCCTGCAACAAGTCTTTCAAGAAGCTGTGGTCACTGCATGAGCACATCAAGATTGTGCATGGCTATGCAGAAAAGAAGTTCTCATGTGAAATCTGTGAGAAGAAGTTCTACACTATGGCTCACGTCCGTAAACACATGGTTGGTAAGTGAGAGCCTTTTTTCACGGTTCCTATTGTGCTTCACCACCTTAATATCCCATACTACAACTATGAGCCAACACACAGCTTAATGAACCACAAAAAAGTTTTATATTATCAATATTTTTCATCCTGTATTTTGTGACTTTACATTTACCATCATCTCCTTTTAAAGGTGCTTATGTGGCATCAGATAAATTTTCTATAATTTTATGTGGATAGGATCAGAGGTTATCATTCTTCAAACACAGCCATTTTGAAACCTTGATAAAACCATATCAGGCCTACTCAGTTGTTTCAGTGTTGTTTTCCTCTTTTTTCCCAAACCCAGCTCACACTAAGGACATGCCGTTCACCTGTGAGACATGTGGGAAGTCATTTAAACGCAGCATGTCTTTAAAAGTTCACTCACTCCAGCATTCTGGAGAGAAACCCTTCCGTTGTGAGGTAAGATGCACACACTGTGGCCTGGTTCAGACATGACATCCTGTGTTCAGAGAAATCAAGATTGGGCTGAGCTCTGATAGACTGATTTCAGTTTGCAGCAGGCTTCAAAATGTGACATAACTGCATCTAGAGTGACCATCTGATTGTATCTGTTAAAACTAAGGCTAGAGCCCCACAGCCAAAATACAGATTTGTACTAGGCCATACAGCTGGAGAACATGATTACCTCACCTTAGACGTCGACTACAAACCTTTTTTCTAAGACAAAACGGCTGAAACAGCAATTGGGAGGTTTGTTGTACTGTATGCGAATTGTCCTTCAGTGTGTGCACGGATGCATTTGTGTCACACTCTGCTACATAGTTTAAATATAGTACATAACATCCCTGGCTTAAGTCAGATACAGACTGTCTTGTATTTGTTTTTATTTTATTATTGCAAGTAACAATGATATTAATGATAATGAACTTGATTTGTATAGTACCTTTGACACAATAAATGCAGTACAAAGTGCTTTGTAACAATTACATCCAGTGCACCAAGTACATCACATGAAAAGACATACACTTAACATTAAAAACATTAATATAAAATGAGATGGAATAATAATGAAACAATATCATGATAAAATAAATAAATAATTAAAATAAGTTCAAAATTGATTACATAGAATGCATAGAATCGGTAAGACACCAGTAGTTATAACGGCATTCAAAAGAAGTGCTGAGCAGTACAGAGGTACGTAGCAAGTTGCCAAATTTCAAAGCTACTTAAAGTGTACTTAGTGTGTGAATTGGTGCACCAAAGCCCCTTTTCCACTGGTCAAAAATCCCACTAACATCTAGCTTTCCTCTGCAATTGAAAAGGGTTCAATCAGCATTCACACCTGGGTCAAATGACTCTGCAGTAGATGCAGGTATTTATCTGCTCTGATCGGCATTGATGTGAACACAAACCTGGGTGAACATGCTAATTTTCACCCCCCTTTTCTGCCGTAACGTCTTTTAGAGCACAGACAGTGTAGACAGACCCATCACCTGTCCAGCAGTGCTGTTAAACCAGAAATACCACAGCTACACTGCGCTCAGAGATGAAAGAGTGAACGCAGCCCTGAACATCACTAGCAGCTCACTCATCCCCCCTGCGTCTTTGTCTATGCTCCTTGCACTTGTGTGTCCTCAGTCCAAACGAAAAGACAAACTCGACTGGCAGTGGAAGACGGATCAATCGTCTTTTATTAGCGGGTTTGGCCGCATTTAAAAAAAAAAAAAAAAAAAAAAAACACTTATACCCACTAATTTTGGTGGAAAGGGGGAATGATAGGAATTTTAGAGCAGAATGCAGCTTGCTTGTCTTTTTGTTCTATCACCCTTTCATATCCTGCTGCTGTTGAAATGTGTGTTTCCTTGTAAAGGTCATTCACATAACATAGAAGACACATGACTCAGCCTTAGACCACTACAGTTCCCAGCCAGACACACTGTTTTCTAAGCAGCCCAAATTCCACACTTGAATGAGTCTCTCTCCCCATGGTCATGGGTTAACTTACTTGCCTGATCAAAACCCCCTATGTTAGAACCTATATAATGTTTAAATTCTGGAGTGTTGGTAATTATTAGATATTGTTTGTCATAAACACACACTTACCTAAAAGTCACAGTCTTTCTTCCTTGTCCTTTGTAACATATTTATTTTGAACTCAGCGAGTGATTGGCTGTCTTGAGTGGAGTGACTGAAGGTTACAGTTTTGAAGAATTTGCCCTTGTGTGCCGTAAAATGAGCCTCAAAGTAGTTTGTACTCATTAGTTTGAGCAGATGTGCCATGTGGTTTGTGAACAACCCAAAATAGTCAGTTATATTCAGTTGATGTTTTTTTTTTTTTTTTTTTTTTTTTTTTGTGGGGGGGGGGGGGGGGGGGTGTACACAGAGAAGTTTAAGTCAAGCCATGTCAAATATTAGCAAACCACGTAAACATGATGTTCACCAATAAACTGGAACATAATATAAATGTAGAACTAAATGTTTTTGGAGCTTTGACTGGCCTCTTTCAAGGATGCTTATTCAGTCACATTGTTCATCAAGGTTCCTTTCTGCTCAGTGGAGTTAGTAACAGTTGATAATCATAACCGTGTCCTGACTCATTGATTCAGAGGAAGGTGACAGATGGGGGTGCTTTACTCCCACCCGAGGCCTGTCCAACCACTTGAATGGAGCATGTGTGTATGGGTGGAGCTGCTCTAATTAAATGTTTTAAGTCCTCCTACACTGTAACATATAATTATGTGCTTATTAAGGGTGTATGTAATGTATAGACCATCATTTTCCTCAGTGGTCTTACAGAGCAGTGCCATATGGAACCTGCTAGATTTTTTTTCACTACATTTATTTAGCCAGGTAGTTCCATTGAGGTTGTGAATATCTCATTTTAGGTAACACCTGACCAAGAAAGCCTCATAATTCAAATAGTAGTGTTTGTGTGGTCACATGCACACAAATAATCTGGTTATTGTTGGCTTGCTTCAGTAACCTCATTTCGTATGTACACATGTATCCTGGGCTGGGCTTCCTCATATGCAAAATGGTTAAAATCCACTTGTTAAGTCTGACTACAACTGAATTGTCTCATTGAAATGCAGATAAAAATTTTCCACTTTCCTGCCTAACCTGACGATAACAAATAACCTGCTTTCTTTTGTGCATGTTATGTAGTCTATGTATGTACAGTAGTCACAGCAGTGTACACACTACTGTAAATAAGATCACATAACATGTATATGTGTACTTTTGAATGCTCAAAGGAAACAGGAATAGACTTAATATTGTTACTCTCTTAAACTGCTAATGGTTGTTTTCAAGTAAGAAGAGTATGTGAAAGATCTTAAGGCTAATTCAAAGTTTTGATTTGTGTGTCTGTGTGAGTGTTTTTGTGTGCATGCCCTGTGCACTGACCTGCTGTGTGCATGTTATCTGAATGCCTCTGTTGTCTCTGCTATAGAACTGTGACGAGCGGTTCCAGTACAAGTACCAGCTGCGCTCTCACATGAGCATTCACATCGGACACAAGCAGTTCATGTGTCAATGGTGTGGCAAAGACTTCAACATGAAACAGTATTTTGATGAGCACATGAAAACACACACAGGTGAGAAGTTTGGCTGTGAGTTGTAAGTCAGTCTATATGCTTACATAGACCAGTTGTGCCATTGTATTTTGGTCTGTTGTTATTTTTCATCCCAAAAACATCATCAGGAACCTTTTTATGAAGTAAGAACCTCAACCTGCTTTTTCACTGTAGGCATGTACTTTCCACTTTTAAAGCCCTTTTGACTTAACAAGCTTTTCCACAAATCTGGGAACTTTTGCAGGAACTCAACCAGTTTAGCGACTTAAAGCACCTCTGTTTAAATTTAGTTACTGGGCCATAAGAAGTTCCTGTTCCAGAGACAGTTGTTTCCAGTGGCCCAGGAGCTATCACTATGGAGTCTCCAGTAAATAACCAGTCAAAGAATGACACAACTTGTATACAGGATTCATTCAGATTGCAAGCAAACTACTGGTTGTGGCTAGTTTCAATATTATACTTGGGAATGGAATTTCTTGTGATGTTATTGACATTTAAAGTTATACAGCAAACTTTCCAACCAGTCTGACAGGGAGTGGGATGACGGAAAGTGAGGGAATAAGAAAAACTCACAAGAACAGCGTTTTACGAAGTGTGGTTTAAAGTAGCTAAAATCAGAAAAATACTATTTTGGAGAGAGATGTCTCGCCTCTCTGGCGTTCTCAGTCTTCCCTTATATCTTTGCACATCTCCTTTCCAACATCTATTTAAATATCACTCGGTAGAGAAACAGTAAATTACAGCGAACAGCAAGATAACTCCTCTGCAAAAATGCAAAAGCTACGTTTCATAAAAGCAATTATTTATTTTTAAACTTTGCTCGATATACACAGTTCGTTAGATAGAAATAAAGACATGAATGCAAAAAGTGCCTAAAAGACTTGTTACTAATGTAGGTCCTGAGTCTCGGTCAGTTTATGTAAAAACACTACATATTTCTTTGTTGTCAGATGTATTTTTTTTTTTCTGTTAAAAATCTAAATACAGACAGTCTGCAATTCTGAAATGAAAACTAACAAACAAGTGTGTTCCTGAGATCCGTCAGTCAGCCAGCCAGCCAGCTAGTCTCCATGTCCTCCCTAAAAAAGGAAAGACACGGGATGTTGCCAAGATGAACATTATAGTGGTAAGAGCAAAGAGACTGCCCAGTTGTTGTAATGAGAGGGACATTTCACATCAAAGAACAGTCTTGCATATATTGCAGCTCATAATGACTACCCAGACATACTGTATTACATCCCTCTGATTTTCTGTCCCTGCTACTTTGCTATTTCTAAGACCAAACCGAGCAATGAAGCCTGTACGTCCTTCACTGTTTTTCTCAAGCTGTGCCTGTTGTGGGTGGACACACTGCTCTCCATTGGCCCTCACAGTTATATTTGTGATGTGTAATTACACTACCCTCTCCTCTGCCTGCCACTGGAAACCAATTTAGCCTCCTGCAGGAGGAGACACACCCAACCATGCCCTGTAATAGGCAGCACATATGTTAAACACCCAAAGTTGTGTTCACGGCACCGATTTTTCATGAAATCTTGAGAGTGAGTGTAATGTAACCGTTACAGAAGACTATCACATTAGCTGTCACCTTTTGATATTAGTTGGTTTGGAGGAGCTTCACACATAACATGCCAGAATAAGGCACATAGAGAGCACTTCAGCAGCCTGTTAATAGATGGCTGTGTGGGTGGTAGCAGGCACATTCAGTGGCTCCATGGAGGGAGGTTAATGAGAGTGGCATTCCAACTGAGCTGCTGTTGTTCACTTTCACATCTCCTCTCCTCAAAGTGTGAATGGTAATAGCTTCCTGCGGAGTGGGTGGGTTGACAGCAAAGACTCTCAATTCAAGATGGCAACTTATTAGCATTTTTAAAGTAGAGCTGCTGCTCTCTGTAGAGGAAAAAATGGGGAAAAGTTAACTTTGTCATTTGGAGAGCTTTAATGAGTTGATTATTTTAAATTTTGAAATCATCTCATTTGACAGCAAATGATTTGAGTCCGATGCATCATATTTTCTCTGTAAAGCTTTTTGTGAACTGATACAGTGTCTGTCTCCCTCATATGTTGATATCTCGTTTTCTGAATCTGTGCAGGAGAGAAGCCTTTCATTTGTGAGATCTGTGGAAAGAGCTTCACCAGCCGGCCCAACATGAAGCGCCACCGGCGCACCCACACAGGGGAGAAGCCCTATCCCTGTGAGGTGTGCGGACAGCGCTTCCGCTTCTCCAACATGCTCAAAGCACACAAAGAGAAGTGTTTCCGGGTCACCAGCCCTGTAGTTCTGCAGACCAGCGGCCCACCTGTGCCTGTCCGCATCTTTGCCAACACCTTCTCCTCCTCTTCTTCCACCTCTGGCCCCGGCCCCTCAGCTGCCACCCCGGCCACCACCTCAGCTTCCCTGGGCCTCAGCCCGACAGGAGGGCCCATGCCTCCGCGGGGCCCTGTGGGACACACATTTTCCCATGTGCAGCTCCACTCAACCCCTTCTCACCATCATCCCCACCCCCCAACATCCCAACAACACCTCTCAAACACACCCCAACATGCCCCACCTCACCCCCACCACCTGGCCGTGCCCCCAGTCTCTCACCTGCCCCCACCCCCTGCCCTTTTTAAGAGTGAGCCCCTAAACCACTGTGGGCACGAAGACAGCAGCTACCTGCACCACATGGCCCCCCCTGACAAGGGTCCTGGAGCCCCACAGCACCACTGAACTATGCTCCAGCACTGCAGGCCCACACCAAACCACGCCTTGTTCCTCTTCTTCACATAGTCCTGCCTCAGTCTCTCAGTTGCAAGGCCCCTAATACAAGGGTACTCTTCTCAAACAGATATAAATAAGTCAAGCTGAACATGCACACCTGTGTATGTGTGAAAGACTCAGACTGAAACACCCTCAGTGCACACGTTATTTAAGTAAGGAACCTACTTAAAAACCCCGATCAACTGACAAAGATTTTTTCATTGTGTAGAATTTTTTTTTTTTTCATGAACATTTTCTTGGGAAATCTACAGAAATGATTTCTGTGTGAGTTCTCTCTCTGTACATTGATGGGTGTAAAGTATCTCCTTTTCATCATAAGCTGCTGATGGAATTCATCATATGTATTACCTGGGCTACATGGATCCTAAAAGATCAGTGTGTCATTGAACTTTCGTCTTTATGTCAAGTTGACTTACGGTTGCACATCGGTCCGGACGTTTGCTTTCTGTGCAGGTCCTCCCCATAGCAATACTCAACCTTTCGTCCGCATTGTACTGCAGAGCCTCAGGCCCCACAGGAATGTGTAATGAATGTTGTAACTGGTTCTACCTGAGTCTTTCTTTGTACTAAGGTTGAGGCTTTCTGTCAGAGGGGAAACAGCAGTAGTGCAAGATGCAGTGCCATAGGTTACAGTAAGAAGGGGGGAGGGGGGATTTTTGTAAAGGACATCGGAAAAAAAAGTTTTGTAAATGGTTAGTTGAATCTAGACGTAGTCTGAGATTCATATGGTTAAATGGTGCTTTCCATTCCAGTACATAAAATATTTCTTAATTTTGCTTTTCCATTTTATTTTCAGAAGTGTAATATTACAAATTAACAATGTATTGTGTCATATAGAACATGTCTTGCCGGCCTGGCTTTTCTACAATGGATTTGAGGTTTGACTAGACTATTTTGTGAACAAGAAACTCAATTTATGCAGGACATGCCCTGGGCACACGCAGCCTCACATTTACTCAAGCACACGCAAAAGACAAAGACCATATGGTCACTGATTTACTTACTGTGATCAGTGCAACCTCAGCTTTTCAGTACTGTTGGTCAACAGATGCTTTTAGATAGCAGATGACTGTCAAATACTGCCACTGTGAGGGGCCAGACACATGGCCCCATCAGGATTTACCCCAACTCCCTTCGCTGCTGTTGAAACGATACGGGTTACCATGTTAAAGGTCATTTGACACACAGTATACACACCTGGGACCTTTTTCATCACAGGTCTTAACAGACAATTATGCATATTCCTCTCAGTCTATATTCCACGGTTTGATGTGGGGCGTTTCTGGTTTATTTTTGACTTTTCAACATACTGACACACTTTGATCCACACAGGCAAAGGCGTCGAAACCTGATGAATGTTGCCTACGCAGAATGATGGCTGCTGAGTCATTCGTGTTTTTTATGTTCTCTGATAATTTGCTCAGTTCTAAGCTAATGAATGGGTCTGTAGTGTAGGTATACTGTTGTTAGCACGTTAGGAAATGTCAGGATAAAATCCAGTGGTCATACAGTTCTGAATACTCGGAATTCTCTGTATAGATAGGCGTAACGTGAAAAAGTCAGCGCAAAAAAGTACATTTGTTAATGTAATAGCCAATGGTGTGAATGTTATTTGTTGAAAAGAAGCAGAAATGGTTGGCAAGTATTTGGCACGAATTTGGGTTGCTTGGTTGTTACCCCTTCACTAAGTATAACGGTGTATTGAGGAGGAACATTGAGCTGTGTGAGTGTGTGTGTGCGTGTGCGTGTGTGTGTGCGTGTGCGAGCATGCGTTAGTCTCTACCTGTCTGTCTGTCTGGTTGTCCCCAGTGCTCTTGTACCAAAAGCTGCTTTTACACAGTGTGCCCCCAATATATGTGTACTTGGGGATAGCTGACATGGATAATAGCAGTAATTTAACATCTTTCTACCACTCTAATGGTATTCAGTCTGAAGTGGTTCAGCTCAGTAGTTAAGGATGTTCCTTCTTTGATTTGAGACCTGCGATTATCCTGCCATTTCTGTGGGTCTTAATACCGCTGCATTATTTGCTTATCATGCTGTCCCCTCAGTTTCACTGCTGCTCTTCAGCATTTCGCAGTATGGATCTTTGTCTTGTATTTTTTTTTTTTTTTTAAAGCCTTTTTCATTTGTGTGTATTCTCTGCACTTTACTGCTGCGTGGGTGAGGCGCAGGGAAGGGAGGGACTGACAATGCATTGTGGAACAGAGTGCAGTTGTGGCTGCATGGGAAAGGGTGGAGGTGATTACTCTGAGTGGATGTTTTTAGGCAAGGAAAGGAGGAGAATCCTGGATGGAGGCGGTTAGTGTGGAAGGGACCATAGCAAATGAAGGACATTTCTTTAAGTATGTGCTTAAAGTTCATTTCCTGTTTTTTAAAAGAAATGCCCTTTTGCTCCATTATGGACCTCCCTTCAAAGTGAAAGCGATGTTCCTTTTGCTTTGGCAACTTTACACTAGCCCCTCCAAGCTATGTCTGAAATACATTCTTCTGTTATGTTTGTTCATGGAGTCTGTCTCTCTGCCATGTCCTGTTCTGTCTTTCAGTTTGCCGAATGATTCTCCTCCTCCTTTCTTTGTTATATAGAATGCACTTTCTACTAAAAATCTTGGCTAGTTAAGAAAAAATAACATTGTATATTCTTTAAAAGATGTTTTAAAAAAAAATCAATATACTTTTTCCCCTTTGTATTTTTAACCACTTAATGTAGCATTGCGTATTTTATTATTGTATCTGGTACAAAATGTGCAGCTTTATAATGTCCTGGTTTGTCCTTTTTTTTGTATGTTATCTGGAGATTGAGGAGAAGTGAAAAAGTTGGGCCTTTTTTGATAATGTACATTTAACTGACTGCTAACTTTGAGAAGTAAAAATGAGTAGCCATGATTATCACATATTTGTGTGTCTCTCTTTATCTTCAAACACTGCTGGTTCACTGGAAACAAGACAGGTAGTTGAATGTGAAACTGAGAAAAGTAAGGATTGTGCACAGTGTGTTCCTGATAGGTCAACAGGTTCAGTCTCAGGTAAGTTTCACAACAAGCTTTGCTGAAAAGCTTAAATTCCTACAGGCTGTTGCAGCTGCACTGGCTTGATTTGCTTGAGTGTGATTGTTTTACTATTTTAGGGTCACTAGGTTCTTGGCATAACACCTCTGACTGCCGCCGGCTGCACGTGACACTGTAGACCTGTTTGCTTGTCACTGCTTTTATCTGACAAGTGAAGTTTCGGGTCCTCTTTGCGACCGCTTCCTCTTCTTTAGATGTGACAGCAAGACTTTTTAAATAGAGTTCATGTTTGTTTTTGCAGATCACGTGAGGGTTCCTTACAGTAATGTTTATTGTAGTCACAGGCTGTGACTGTGACCTTTTGTGACCTCGGGCAGCGATTCTCCAGTTAGGTAAAGTACAGCTTTAATCTATTCATCCAAACTTGTGTCATACCTTTTTTAGATAAGCAGTTACATATGGAGACAGCTTGATTTGATTTTTACAAATTAAATGTCAGACCAAGAGCAAGCAAAAACAAAAAAGGATAGTGTTGCTTTTTTAGTCTTCTTTCCTGGAGATCTCTTGTTCCAACTCAAACATCTTTATTAACACAGTGTTCCTCCTCTACAGCCACATTAAGACATTTACTGTTGCTCGAATACCTAAAATGTCGTGTGCTCTCTGTCACCATAGGTAGTTTTAGTGGCGCACAAATGAGTCACATAATCCTATAAGGTAGCAGAGCAGGCCGATGGGTAGAGAAAAGTGTTGAGTGACTCACTCATTGAAGGTGAGTGGGTGGTCAGGTACAGAGGCTCACTTCACGCGCAGAGGAGATAATAACACACCATCTGCACCATCTCCATTCCCGTTTGGGTTTGAAAATAGTCAGCCACCCCAGCTGTTAGTCATTACGCCTTGCGGTGTAGAGGAGGGAGGAGGCAGCGTCTGTCAGCAGGCAGATAAGGAGAGGAGGGCTTCACGCCGTGTTTTTCAGGCGTGCGTTCGGTGCTCTGGAAGTTGCTGTGTGGGTCATTAATCACAGTGTATTTGCAGGGTTTTATCTAGACAACTGTCTTCGCAGAGGAGCGATCAGCCAACATGAACTCCCTCGCTGTGGCGCTAATATTTCACTGTAGTTCACAAATGGAAACACCACATTGTTTCAGACTTGAAATCATTATTGCTTTTGACACACTTTATAAATTTTATTTCCAATCAGCCTCTTGCAGCTTTATCCTCATTCCTCATGTCTCCCTTACAAAAGAGGTCAGAGGTCAGTAAGGCCACTGTTGATGTTGATTGTTTTTCCACTGTTCTAATAGTCACCCAAATATAGACCATACTGTTAAACAAAGGCCTTTCACTGTTAGTTCATAGACAGCAAATGGTCTGTCTGTTTGGAATAGCGGGATATCAGTTATTCAGATATTTACCTGTTGCCTACAGTTACTGCCATGCACTGTGACATCCCAGAAATCAGGCTCCAAACTGGGTTAACGCCAAACTTAAAAATACAAAAATCTGCGGATTGGACCTTTTCTTATAGAGCTGTCACAACCAGTCATATTTATTCTCGCCTTTTGTAAACGCTCCGCTGGAAAACATGAGCGGCCTACATTAGATCAACTGTAGACGAGAAGCAAGAAGATCTGCGGAAATATTGAAGAAGCAGAATATTTACTGCACGTCCTGCTGTTTTTCTTTCTTTCTTTCTTTCCTGTCCTCCCATAGAAACCCCCACTCCCCTCCCCTCTCCTCTTGAGAGTGTCATGAACGCGCTCAGTAGGCTGCTATTAAATGGGCGGACTTGTACGCGCGGTCACGTCCACAGCTGCTCCGGTGGTTCTGGCTGTCACATAAAAGTGCACGTCCCGGCGGCCGAGCGGCGGAACTCTGTCTGTACTTTCTGCGAGACCGGATCGGAACAGAGGGACACTGTGGACCGGAACCAGCACCGGTGATACATTTATGCTTTTTTTTTTTTTTTTTTAAGACAAAATCTAATCTGCAGGAGCTCAGCCTTTATCTACTGTATGCGGGCGCCCTGCCACTGTTGTTGATGTTGCTATGAGAAAGTAGTTGTTTACTTACCAGTGTTTACTTCTGAATTGTGCTCTAGCCTAAAAATAACTCAAAACGTGTCCTCTGAAGTTTAAAAGTGGACTTGAAATGTGTTTAACAGCAAGCTGAGCTATAGTAAGGTGACCTTTTACATTTTGACGTTTTTGTACTTATGTCTTATTTTGTGTCTCAAATGGATTTCCTGAATAATCCTGTAGTAGTGTGACTCGGTAACCTACTTCTTGTAGCTGCACGAGCTTGCCGGATTAATTAGATGATTATAAAGTTATTATAAGGGCTCTCAGGTATGAGGCTTTTTAAAGTAAAGCGGCTTCACTTTAAAGCAAAAACACTGTCTCCTGCAACTCGGGGTTCATTGTGTTTTTCTTCACACAGACCAGACACCGACAGAAAAAAAAAACATCCTCACAGCTGGAAGGCGCCTGACTGGATCAGGGAAACACGTGAGGTCATTGCTGCAATCTTCGACAATCCAAACAAGGTTTGTAGGCAGAAGCCCGTGCAGCCTGCAGGACATGCACACTGTCTTGTTTTTCATGTGAAATATAGTTGCTCTATTTGCTTGCTTGTAGTAGCATGCAGAGACCAATTCTGCCTATAATCATTTCACCCCCACACCCCTCCTCCTCCTCTTCGCTCCTTACCTTTTTATAAAAATTTTTTTTTTTAAAAGTCCCACAGTTGTTCAGAGACATGTGTTGGAGGATGCTGCCTTCTCTGAGCTGAAAATGCTGCTGGTTGGCTGCTTTGCTCTCTTTATAAGTCTTTACCTTTTAAATTTGCTATGCCTATTTCTTATCTTAAATCTGTATTTGGTTCTGTTTTGCCTCCACCCCACCCCCTTTCCTCCTCGTCTATTTATGCAATAATGTTTCCCAGAAAGCTCCTCGGTAGCCTCCACCTCACCGTGGTCTGCCTGGCGTGGGATGCTGGAGAGTGGGAGAGCGGGAGAGGAGATTTGATGCCACTTGGCAACAGTAAGAGTTGTGGCATAGTTAATCATGGGGGATTCAATCTTCAACTGCTGTTATGTCCCACCCCACCCCCCAGGAGAGGAGGAACCCCGCAGGTCCAAACGCACAGAGATCATGGCCTCCCATTCAGCTAACATCTCCTCCGACAAGCGCTTCCTCATCTTCTTTGACTTTGATGAGACCATCGTGGATGAAACCAGCGACGACATGGTGGTGCAGGCCGCCCCGGGTCAACACCTCCCGGAGTGGCTGAAGGACACCTACCAGCCCGGTCGCTACAACGAGTACATGCAGCGCGTCCTGGCCTACCTGGCGGAGCAAGGCGTCACCGAGAGCGACATACGCAGCATCATTGAGAAGATACCGGCCACCCCCGGCATGCTCACCCTCTTCCAGTTCCTCCGCACCCGGCCCCCGAAGGACTTTGAGGTGGTGCTGGTGTCTGATGCCAACACCTTCTTCATCGAGTCCTGGCTCCGGCGCACCGGGGCCCGCCAGCTCTTCCATCGCATCTTCGCCAACCCGGCCACCTTCAACAAGGACGGGCGGCTGGTGATGAAACCCTTCCACTCTCACGACTGCCAACGGTGCCCCGACAACATGTGCAAGCAGGTGATCGTCAGGGACTATGTGGCCCGCAGGACGCAGGAGCGGGGCCGCCCCTATCAGAGGGTTTTCTACGTGGGAGACGGAGCCAACGACTTCTGCCCGGCGCTTTCCCTTGGGCCCCGGGACGTGGCCTTTCCGCGGCGGGACTTCCCCATGCACCGGCTGATCACTGAGACCCATGAGGCCATGCCCGGGGAGTTCAAGGCGGTCACGGTGCCGTGGGTGAGCGGGGAGGAAGTGGTGCAGCGGCTGAGGAAACTGGTGGCAGAGTAGAGGGTCACACACAAACAGAGGAGTCGATTAAGGGGCCAGTTGACAATTTTAGTCATATTCTCAGGTAAAATAGTCCCAGGAACTAATGTTTGAGACAATAAAATGATTTACTGTCTGTAAACACGTGTCCGCCAGGTCTCCAGCCTGCACATGCCTCAGCCCAGCTTCTCACCTGGTCCAGAGGCCTCTCCAAGAACAGAGACTCAGTTTATCAGCTCATAAGCAGGTTAATGATTATGGAGACCTGCCAGCTTCACCGGAGCTGAGGAAATCAATAACAAATCCAGTGCTTTGTTGTAAACAGCATTTAGAAGTAGACTAAAGGACTTTGCATTTACATAATAAATCTCCTTCACTGGGATAGCCTAACATTTAGAAGCATTCCTCATGGTTTTAGGAGTTAAACTGGGCCAGTAAGGAAATCCCTGTAAGTAGGCTAATAACCTAAATAGCAATATTTAAAAATGTAATGAACACTTGTTAACTAAGTGACTCATTGCTCTTGAGTTACAATTATGAGTGTGTTTTCTTACAAAATGCACTTTTTTGAAACTTTTATGAAATATGTAATTAAAGTGTCAATAAATGAAATCACACTGCCATCTGATGGCAATGGGGATTGCAATAGCTCCACAAAATTTGTTTGTCAGAAAATATACAGTATGTCAAAAAATGTATGACTATGTTTTAAGAGTGTGTGTGTTTGGTTAACTTGTCTATTGGTGTGTTGTGTCTTTGTTGTGTAGGCCAGGCCTACTGAAAAATATATATTAACACCAGCAGGAATAAAGCCATCAACTGAAACCCTGTGTCTGATTTTATTATCAAACCTCCTCAACGTCCACGTGAACTCATTCCGGACCCTTACACTGACAGCATTCATGTACTTCTGCCAAAAAAGGGCCACGTTTGATATTTTAACATTAGCATAAGAAAATCCTGTTTCTTTCTACTCTACTGAAATTTTAGTTATTAGCACACATATCATGCATAACACAAATGTGTATCACTTAAACTTGAAACAGACAATGATCAAACAAGCTTTTGAAACCAAATGCTGAACAAAAGACCTTAAAGAGATATAGAACCTCAACTTATGGTCAAAATATTATTATAGTTTTCCACATATTGGGCTTCTATAGTCTTTCCGAAGAGTCCAAATGGTCTTTTCTGTGCATACTGTCTCTTCAAGTAGGTACGTTTCTGTCTGTGAAAATAATACTTATCATACCAAACTCTATTAAATGATGGTTTAATGTTTATAAAGCTTTTATTTTTGCATAATTTTAAAAGGTTGTTCTGAAGCAGAGGGCTCAGTTGAACTAACTAAAATTCTGGTTTCAACTGTCTATTATAAATCTGTCAGACAATTGGAGAGTTCATGAGTATTTAGTGCCACCTGATGGTCATAGTGCATAACTACACCTCTGTCTTATTTAATAGGTTTATTGTGAAAGTGTTACAAAAACAAACAAAAAAACTGTAATCGTGGCATGTGCAGAAGTATAGGCACCCTACAAAGTCAGTAGTCAGTAACCCCTCACCCCCTTTGGTAGATATCACAATATTTTGCACCCAGCTTATAGTCTTAACATTCTTGATTGGTGAATTTCCATCCACTCTTCCTGTAGACCACAGGTTCTGAGATATTTTATATTGTCTTGCATCTGTGTAAGATCTGACCATACATTTTCAGCGATGTCCACGTCAGAGGACTGTGGGGGCCGTTCCAAAAACTTGTGTCTCTTGAAGTAGTTCACGGTGGATTTTGAGTTCTGCTTTGTTGTGGAAGCCAGCCTCTTTTCAGTTTCGCTTTCTGGACTGACTGCAGGACATTTGCACCCGAAATTTACTGATATTTAGTGGAATCTAGTTTTCCTTCCTTCAATAGTTTGCCCAAACTTTTGCACATACCACACTTACTGTTTCATTTTTTTCTGTTGGTTAAGAATATCAGTGCATTTACATTTAAATAAATGTTAGTTTTTTAGGTCTGTTCGCTGCAGAGGATATATTTAGTGCTTATCACTTCTAAAATCAACAAAACATGTAATCTGCCCAGTGATGATTACGACCGTGTCGAGCAGTCTGCCTGTAGTGCACAGCTATATCAGTGGGGGTGCTGGTGAGTCTTGACGGTGAATGCTCGTCGCCCTCAGGTCAGTAGAAGAAGAAAGCCGGAAGTAGTACCCCATGCGCATGGCGCTATTTGGGAAATTATTTATCTTCTGAATACATCCCCAACTTTATCTTCTTCTGAAAATAATATTTCCCGACTACATTATAACATAACACAGGTAAGTGCATTCTGCAGGTTGCAAGTTATAGCTCGGCGCTGTAAGTTAACTAAAACGCTGAACAGCAACGTAACTGAAACGTCGTCCACAGGTCATTCATTTCTTTGCTTGTTAGCAGGCTAGCATGCTAGTTTTTGATTAACGAATAACTTCGCCAAGTAGACGAGCAAGTAGTTATTGAAAACTTCTCAGTGAAACCAAATATTAGGCTAAAAACTTCAGCCGTCGGAAAACACCTTTGACTTAGATAAATAGCCAAATGAAGTTTGACCAGTGGGCATATTTTGCTACAAGCAAAGTTAGCGTTAGCTTCGGTGGGAAGGCACCTTCGTAACGTCAGTCATCACCGGCATTTGATAAACAACTAAAATCAAATTTATATTGCATGGCAAAATTTGGAACACACGAATATAACAAACGTTGTTTGTGGCTATTGACTCACTCAATAACACTTCATACGTTTACGTCGTTATAATGTCGACATAGTTTGTTGTTTAACAAACATCATCAAACAAGTTAGCAGCGAAAAGCTTCAGTTGAAATAGTTCATTGCTGAGAAAAAATAAGTTAAGGCTACAAAGTTTTAATTGTAATGCGCTAAAATGTCATAAATGTTATGTAACACTGAACGATACTAATATATTGGCTGTAACAGTGACTCACTAACATGAATACTCATTAACACAAAACTCCTGTCTCAAGTCTCTACAAGATGGAGGCTGATCTGTATGATGAGTTTGGGAACTATATCGGTCCAGAGCTGGACTCTGACGATGATGAAGATGATCTGGATGCAGAGGACAGAGATGTTGATGAGGTAAGCTTCAAACTCTGTGTGAACGGTTATTAGTAGGTAATACTTAAAGTTTGTTTATGCAGTATTTGCGCACACAAAATGGTAATAACACTGTTCTTGTGCAGGGCGATGAGGATGATGACGATGAACCGGCAGATGCTGATGATGATGTCCCAGGCATGGAGGTGGTCCTGCATGAGGACAAGAAGTACTATCCTACAGCAGAGGAGGTTTACGGGCCTGAGGTGGAAACTATTGTCCAGGAGGAAGACACACAACCTCTCACAGGTTGGAGACAAACAAAAGTGTAATATGTATTTGCAGAGTCACTATGAAGGATGTTGTATGATTGGTGTTAAAACAGCTGAAGTCAAAATATGCTGTTAAGTAAATACACAAACAATAGTATTTTCTCTCTACTCTTTCCAGAACCCATCATCAAGCCTGTGAAGAACAAGCAGTTCACCCTGATGGAGCAAGAGTTACCTGCCACTGTTTATGATATGGAGTGAGTATTCTAAGTGGTTTCCTGTTAATATGGATGTATGTACAAGTTTGAAGATTCATATGTTGATCCAGAATGTACACGAGTGAACAACATTTTTTCAGTCTTGTGTATTTTTAGGTACATGTCTGCCATTTAATTGTGTTTGCCATGTGCCGCTTCAAGCTGTGACATCCCTCCTCTCCTTTGGCAGATTCCTTGCAGATCTGATGGACGGTCCTGAGCTGATCCGTAACGTCACCCTTTGTGGTCACCTTCACCACGGCAAGGTTAGAGCTGCCTCTGGCTCAGTTTCTCTTTTAGCTGTGTGTTTGTAGTCAGGGCTCTTCTGCAGCTGTTTGCCAAAGAGAGCATGTGTTGCTAAGATGAAAAATTTAGGAGCACAGGGATGTTTTGGAGCATATGCTAATAACATGGCTGCACTTTAGACTCATCTGTGACTTGTGGGGATCTAATGGATTTGTTTATTCCGTTCAGACCTGTTTTGTGGACTGCCTGATTGAACAGACACATCCAGAAATCAGGAAGAGAGATGATGTGGACGTGAGTGTTGTTTCTAATAATGCAATGAAATTTTCCCTTTATTACACATTCATTCTGTATGAGTCAGCAGAGATTAACCTGATTCTTTTTTTCTTTTTCTTTTTTTACTCTTTCAGCTCCGATACACAGACATTCTCTTTACAGAACAGGAGGTAAGAGTTTTGCTTGAACTGTTGCATAATGATCCTAAAATACACTGGGTTACCACATCTCAGAATGGCAAGGGATTGTAAAAATGGAAATAGATCAACTACAGAATGTAGTTTCATTTGTCAAGTTGACTTAGTCTTTTAAAGAGGGGAGGTTGCAGGATTTTCTTGCCAGAAATGATTGTTTCAAGAGACTTTAAAATGACGGACTTGTGTTTCCTTTCCCGCAAAGGTGATTTTTGTCTTTGTGCTTTTTCCATAGAGAGGAGTTGGTATCAAGTGTACCCCTGTCACAATGGTCCTGCCAGACTCCAGAGGCAAATCTTACCTTTTCAACATCATGGATACACCAGGTATTGCCCCTCAATGGGATGCTTTGTTTGCTGCATGCATGTTCAGAAGTTTTGGTTTAGAGAATGATCATGTTTGAAAGTGATATAAAATCCTGTGTTTCTCTCAAAGGCCACGTAAACTTCTCTGATGAGGTCACATCTAGCATCCGGATCTCAGATGGTGTTGTCCTCTTCATAGACGCAGCAGAAGGAGTGAGTCACCTTTTTTTTTTTTTTTCTTTTTTGATGTTCTCCCAATCCGCCACTCTCTCTACACATAGGTGGATTTCTTCAGCCTACCATATAACCTCGACCTCTGTGTATCTCTGCCCAGGTGATGCTGAACACAGAGCGTCTGATCAAACACGCTGTTCAGGAGCGTATGGCCATCACCATCTGCATCAACAAGGTGGACCGGCTCATCGTGGAGCTCAAACTGCCTCCCACTGATGCTTACTATAAACTGCGCCACATTGTGGATGAAGTCAATGGTTTGCTCAGGTAATACTGGAAACCCATGACACCCACTGTGTCTGAGAGTATGAATGGTTCCATGTGATACTGTGCTCTTATTTCAGTAGAAAACGTTAGTACATTATTGTGACGCACGATTAGTCAGTTAAGGTTTGTCGATTTTTCTCTGCTCTTTCCTAAAGCTCGATGTTGATGAGAAAACCTTTATTTATATTCTGTTTTTTGTCATTGTGACGTTAGAGTAGCAGCTGCACTGTTGATAATGATTGTTACATTTGGTTTTCTCACTAAAAATGGGAGCAACATCTTAAATCACCAGCACACACGTCCATTGTGACAAAATCAGACACACAGGACTCTACAGTTGGTGACTGGTCACTTCTTTTGCCTTTCAGCACGTACTCCACAGATGAGAATTTGGTGGTGTCTCCTCTCCTTGGAAATGTGTGCTTCGCCAGCTCTCAGTACAGCATCTGCTTCACCCTAGGGTCCTTTGCAAAGATCTACTCAGACACCTACGGTGAGATAACTCTTCAGCACATATACATCAGCAATGGACTGGAACATCCTCTCCTTTTCATGCCTATTGCACTAATCCGTTTTAATTAACTCTGTTTGGGTCTACAGGTGACATCAACTATAACGAGTTTGCCAAGAGGCTCTGGGGAGACATTTATTTCAATCCCAAAACGTGAGTAGCTAATTTGG